TCCAGACCAGCAGGACCATTGCTCCTACTCTCCGATGTCCACTCACTCTGAACGTTTAGTGTCCTATCCCAGACGTGCATTCCGTGAAACTTACTGATTAAATGATCCTGAAGAAACGCTCATCTTGCCTGTACTACTCATCTTGTATGTACAGCAAAATGACAATAAACCTTATTTGATTGATTTGATGTATTGACCCCAAAATCTAACAACTCTGAGAAGGGACCATACCAAGGTCATGTATGAAGTTTCAGGTTCAAACTCCTCTCCTGTAAAGCGCTAGACATACAAAAACACACACACACACACGGACACAACAACTCTATAATTTCCCATCACCATGAGCAACTATAATAAAGGTTACAGGTAGGATTTCCTCAGGAGACCCTGAACCTTCCCTTGGTTATGCTGTTATATGCATTTTCTGCTCAGGGACTTCCCACGATGCACTGAGCACCTCTTCTGTTCTCTCTTCTCCTTCACTTTCCATACTTTCATACGCTGCTCTTGAATGTCAACTTTTGTCCTTCTCTCTCCTGTAGTTGGTGTTTTGTTCTCTGGCTGTGGAGCTGCATGGCTCTGATCTGCACTTACTGCCTCTTGTTCTCTTTGGCTTCTCTGTGTCTCTGTGCTGTCCTTTCACCCTCAGCACAACCAGTCGAGGCAAATGTCTGCGCTCCCTGAGCCTGGCTCTGCTGGAGGTTTCTTCCTCTTCATTTTTTTATTTATTTTTTTATCCCACCAAAGCGCTGCTCAGAGCTCTTTGTTGTGAATTGTGACCTTTCAAATACAACTGAACTGAACTCTTCTCTGCCAGTGCAAATTGTAGCAGTGGCTTTAAGAAATTTTCAGGCAAAAAAAAAAGAAAGGAGTTTGCTTCTAAACCTGTGACCATGCTTGTCTGTTTCCGTCTCATCTGCTTTGAGTAGTCACCAGTGCAAAAACAGAGAGCAGCTTTATTGCTGTGGAAGTTATATCAGAAGTATTGCACTGCATTTCATCATTAGCATTGTTGCCAGTTACCCAATATGTTGTTTTTTGAGGTGTTTGAAACCAGTTTATTCAAATTCCTTGAAAAAAAAGAAAGAGAGAGAGCATGTGCGTACATCTTATACGTAACATTTTCTATTTTTTTAAATATATGCTGCATTATTTTTCCCTCTTTGTGATTACATTGCATAAAAAATAATCACTATTATTTATATCTTTTGGAAATTAGGGTTGTTTATGAGTTTCCTCAGGCAGTCATAAGATTTTGATGGTGATCAGTTGCTGTGAATTCAGTCCAGCAACGTTTTTAATAGCTGTAATTCAGTGAAGGATATAGTTTGCCCATCAGTTTGTACTTCAGCAGTTTGAACACCATCTCTAAAGGATGAATTAAAGTTTGTCCACCTCTGTTGCCATGCCAACTTCACCAAGAATTAAAAAAAAATCATTCCAATGGGCCGCACTGTCTCTAATAAGACCTTGCTTAAAGGCATGAAGGCTCAAATAACCGTTTACACTGCTAAATTAATCAGTCCTAATACACACCACAAAGTGTGTAAACAAAGTTGGGCAGCTACACAAAACACAATGCTGTCTCATGACAAACATTTCAGCAACCAAAAGACAAACAGAAGTTTGAACTAAAGTGCTTAACACCAGCGGTTAGTTGCTATAAAATCACCATAAAGTACATGCAAAAAATGGAAAACGCAGCTACAACACAGTGTTTATACACCAAAATAGTGACTGGTGAAATATAGAGTTGAGAACTGTTATCAAAATGGATAATGCAGAGAAAAATCTAGCAGGGCTGCCTACTGGACGATCCAAATCTTTGGCAAAACTTGTGTGGCAGGTTACTAAAGTGGATTTTGAAAACAGTAAAGCACAGATAGTGGAAGGGAAGGAGAAGGTGTGTGAAACAGATGGCAGGTTTATACCCACAGTCTACATCCACTGAGTCAGACTACCAGATCACAAACAACCCATCCTGGACGAGGCCCACAATGTCACAACCACAGCTCAAAGGAAGCAACATAAAGGAACAAACTAAGTTCAACAAATCAAATAGGGAATTTATTTGATTTGAAAGCAAAGGACTGGTTCACCTTCAGCCCAACAGAACAGGCGGACACAGTACACGATGCTCAGGGACATAACAGTAAATGTTGATGTAAATGGCGAACACAGTCAAGTTTATACAACGATTTGTAATAACTATTTAAAATGCTTCCTCTGGGTATTCAGTCATCGAGGGGGAAAGTAATCCCCCAATTTGTTAAGGTACCTCACAGGCTAACGGCTGAAATTCCTCCTGAATGTTGTGCAAACATCTCCTGGAAAATATAAATCACTTACTTTTTTCCTGGGAATATTTCATTTGGTTTTTCATTAAATTGAATTAAATATTTAATTTTAACTGGTGTGTTCAATATTGACACAAAATAATATAATAGTTTGTGTGTTATTAGTTTAACTCCTTAAGGCTATTTTTGCTTTTTTTTTTTTACAAACTTCCTCCTGAAAAGTTTAGTCAGTAACAAAACAACAACCTTGGGCTCTATGAAGATGAGACACTTGGGAGAATTTTAAAAATGCAATTAGTCTCTTCATCTTTATCAACATTCCAACAATGAGTCAGTAAACAGTGATGTTACTGAATTGGTCCTGAAAATGATCAAATCTAGCAAATTAGCGTTTCTGTCGTTGTAAGAGAGATGAAAGTAAGATCACATTTTAAATGAAAATCAGGTAATAAAGTGTCTTCATACTTGTTCTTGTCATTTTGTGTATATTCAGATTCAGACACATTCAATTTGTGCATAGTACTGTACATTATACTATTAATACGTTTGTAAATCAGAGAATTTTAAGACAAACCGTGTAAAAAGTGAAGCAATCTGACTACTTTCTGAGTCCACTGCATGTGTATAGCAGGAAGAAGTAACAATGTGTGCTTGTGTGTGTTTGATCCAACAAGCTTACATAAGAAATTCTACTCTACCTCATCGCTGACACACACACACACACAAACACACGGTGTGTGTCATTATGGGTTGAAGTGGACTGATTTTGGCTCAGCCATTATCTTCTTACACAACCCACTACAGTGAAGAGAGTCTCGGTGTGTGCTTGTATCTGTGTGTGTGTGTGCACACTCGCATTACTCATGTGCTTTTATGGCATTCAAGTCATTTCTAAAATCGTACACTAATAAAGCAGTATGCTCTATCTGTCAGCCCTCTGCACCCTCTTTGTCAGCAGGGCTGCTGAGTTTTACTGTGAAGTGTGTAAGTCTGTTACACACAACTATTGTGACTACTTACACTTTGAAATGTAAGAGACTGCAAAAAAAAACCCTGATGGCACGGCAGGTCTTTGTGCAGACACAGACACCAGAATTGATCATAGTTATATTGAAATACAATATAGTACAGGTAATTATCATTTATATTGCTATGCAGAGCAGGCATTTCTTTCTAGTGTTGTTATACTGTATATAGTCCAGTCAACCACATGGTGGTGTAATAACCTAAAGGAATGGATGGACTGGCTTTCATACAGGCAAGAACAGAGGGTACAGTTATTAATATAAATATGAGATGACGTGATGTAGAAATATGTTTACTGCTTATTGGTTCAAGTATCAGTTAAGCTTCATAGACTCTCCCCAACCTTCAGAAAACACAACATATGCAGTAAAATCAGTGTTTTTATCTCACAATCACATTAAAGGCAGTTGAGCTCCAGCTGGAAAAAGGAAAAAGCTCTACAATTCTGATAGTTTAAACCACACTAGCAGGTGTTTTGAGATGCATTTTATCCAAAAGTTTAACATGTGTGGATGCATCCATCTCTCCCAGTTGCAGATATAATCTTCACTCCTTCCAGCAAAGCAATCTGCGCAAATAGCCACTTATACGTTCTGTCCACTGTGTTACTGACCGAAGCTGAAGTGTCATTGAGACTACAGTGAGAGTGGCCACATTTGTTTTAATTAAAGCAACAGGATGAAAGCAGCGTCTGCATGATCAACATATGCAGTCATAGCCGGTGCTGTTATCGTGCTTATCTGATCCCTGATTGCATTAGAGGGAACTGGTGGAGATGAGGGCTGCAAGGTGGCGCAGTTGGTTAGCACTGTTGCCTCTTGCGTCCCGGTGGGGGCACCAGGATCTTTCTGCGTGGAGTTTGCATGTTGAGGTTAATTGGTGATTCTAAATTGTCTGTAGGTGTGAATGTGAGTGTGCTTGGTTGTCTGTCTCTAAGTGTAGCCCTGTGATAGACTGGTGACCTGTCCAGGGTGTCCCCTGCCTTCGCCCTAAGTCAGCTGGGATAGACTCCAGCTCCCCCGCGACCCTAGTGAGGATTAAGCGGTGTATAGATAATGGATGGGTGGATGGATGGTGGAGATGGGTGAAACTTTTGTTTAGCTCTTATCGATGTTATTCATTCATGTGGTTGAGTGTAGTTGTTAGCTTCCAAGCAAAATTCCTGTTTGTGCAACCAGACTGCTTATCTGCAGAAGCTCTTCTTGTTTTGTTGGCAGTTTACACGCCCTCACTGAATTGGACTCACCAGCATGTAGCTGCTGTCAGAATTGTGATCCAGCTAATGGAGACACATATATGTCAAAATCTTCCTGCATCCAAAAATATGTTTTGGTTGGCATCATTTTTCTCAAATGTTTGAGCTCAACTGTGCAGGATGACGCATGTGCAGCTTATGCAAGTGGACATCATCCAATGACAACATGACTCTCAACTCAGTCTGTACATATTTTATTAATTTATTATGTGCCTCTGCATTATAGCACTAATTTGACAAATTAACCCTAACTCTAACCTACAGGTTTTGTGAATTTTACCTAAAACACAGCGTAAGTGTGGTTCGGACTTGGACTGTAACTAACCTCACTGTGTCTCCTCTCTTTTTGTCGTGTTGTTAGAGGTGGCAGAACCTTGTCTATAAAACTTCAATGACTTGTGTAAGGCAGCAGGAGTCCTCAGTTACAGCAACACGCAAAGTTTGCTGTTGAAATTGCGTGCAGGTTGCTCGTAACTGCTCTCATTGGTGTCATATGGGGGGGTGATATCCCAGGCAAACGGGGTTATTGCATCCAAGCCAGTGTTGTCCGGAGCAATGACGCCTCCTGAGGATGTGTGTCTCTGCTCAGCCTCAGCTTTCAAATTGGACTCTTTGTCAGACGCTGAAAGAAAGAGAAATGCTATGTTTTATTATTTAATGAACCGAACTACCTGCATGGAAATCCTGTCATCTACTAGCAACACAACAAGTTAGGTGCTTGTGTTTATTCTCAACCAATAAACATACACTACAAACCATATTAAAGGACCTCCAGAATGATCAACAGCTTCATTCCACAGGCTGTCAGAATGCTGATCCAGATATGCAAACACTTGTTTATTTAAATTGCTTTAAGTTATTGGATCCTGAAGAAACGTTACTACTAAATGCATCCTTTTACTAATACTACGACCACCAATGCCTGCTCGCTTCCAAAGTGGGTTAATGGCACTCTGGGGTGCAGTGGGGAAGGGTGTTGTAAGATTTTCTATACCTGTTGTTCATTTAGTGTACATTTCCCCACATTACAAAAAGAAAACTGGCATTCACTCTGCATTTATTACATTGCACTTTTCAAAACATATTCAGACGAAAGACAAAACCAATGAATATCAAGATGACTATATAAAGCCTGTGTTTAATGTGCAGTTTATGCTGCTGGACAAGCCGCTGATGCCAGTTGTCATAGAAACACAACGGGCTACCTGATTTGGGAGTGTTTCAGGAGCTCATCACTTGGAGACACAGATACTTTCAGTGCAAGAAATGAAACCGTCATTTAAAAAATGACATCCAGTCGAATGCAAATGAAGGTGCTTTACCTGAACACAACAAGTAATCAAAATTGTGCAGTTTATTAAAAAATCTTGAGGGAACACAGAACCAGCGGGAGTTATGATGTTTGATACAACATGCAGATTTAGGAAACCATACACAAGTTCTTTGGCCATAATTACTTTTTATTTGTCCAAATGTAATGGATAAAAGTGTTGACGTTTACTGTTAGTTTCTGATAGTTATTCGGACTAGCTTTCCATCTTGGTCAGATAGATACCATTTGTATTTAAACGTCCCTTTGAAGCTGTGGCTTGAATTTACAGTCATACTCTTGATTAATTTAAGTCTGACAGTTCTTTCATGTCTTTGTTAGGTACATTTGAATCTTTTATTCGAGGCGTCCCTGGGAGAACAGATATATATATTCTAGACGGTTTTCTTCTTTTAAAAACAAAGATGTGTCACCGTCCAGTAGGTTGATAAATGTTTGCTTTAATAATACGTCAAGTTTAACGTTTTTGAAATGAATTCAACATGCCAGCAGCTACAGCTGGAACTAAATCATGTTGTACATATGGAATTGTTTTCTTATCTTTAAAAAGAGTGTTATCTAAATAGAGAGCCATTTTCTTGTCTCAGAACTGTGTAAATCTACTGTTACTGCACAAACGCCTTCATTTTGAGGCATCTCTTCCTGCTTAAACTGCTTCTATGCACTCGCAAAACTTCTGCTCCAGGCATTTGTGAAACAATCTTGTCAGGATTCACCAATGAACAGAATGCCAAATACGATGGTGACCAATGAAATCATCACTCCCTCCCTGCTGACGCTCTCACTTTGCTTCCTCTACCATCCCATAATTAGTGTTTAACCGGGTTCAGCAGATCACTGCCAGCATGAATCACCCAAATCAAGGACCTCAGGTAAGTGTTTTCTTTCTTCAAATTTAATTGGTAGGGGCATGTTTGCAGCATGGGAGTACGTTCTTTATAATATGGCTTTCAAGTGTTAATTATGATGTGTGATCTGCTGAACCCAGTTAAACAGTAACCGCCCATAAGGGGGGCTGTTAGAAATCTAATTGACCTCATTTTCTACTCTAGCAAGGCGACGAGAAGCCAGTGTGCTGGGGAGCTGTTATCTAGGTATTATGGTAACACTGGTATATGTATAAACTCCACAAGTCCTACAAGAAAACAGAGCATTAAGGTGCCATATAAATAAACTTTACTTACTTTCTTACAATAAGGCCTGGAGGGAGAGACAGGGTCAACGCAAGAAGATGTTGCATTCTATTGGTTGGGGACCTATTTCAGGGTTGTTTCATAAAAATGTGCAAAAGCGAACACCTAATCGTGGAGGTTTCTTGTCACATTGTTGGGAGAAGCACACAAGCAATGTCTGTAAAAACCCGTCAAGCCATCTACAGTAACACAGTTGTTTAATTTGGAGATAAACTAGACACTGCTGTATAAAGTTACACAGCTATTAAGCATCTGCCACAGGATGGTTTGAAATTTATTTTTAGAATACGCTGCTTAATTTCTGCAAGGACACACAATGTTCCCTTGAGAATTGTGAACTATAACGTTTCAGGCAAAGTTGCACCATGCTATCCTGGTCACCTAAAAGATACTCGACATTTTATTTTTTTAGAATATATTTGTATTTTACCTTTGTTGCTCTGGCCACAAAGCTCCTCCCTGTAAAGAGAGCTCCCTCCAGCCTCTCTTCCCATGATGCTGTCTTCTGATAGCAGCAGGTTTCCGAACAGGAAGTAGGTGGTCATCTGGCCTTTACCCTTCACCTCGATCTGCCCTCGCTCTTCTATGTTGAACCCTGCATCCTTCAGCTCACTGAAAATGGGACCCAGTGGGGAACACACAGAGAATTGGGGCAACTGAAGAATGCTGATCACTCCTACCTCCCTGTACTGGATGCACATATGAGCAGCAAGATTTGTATCTGTGTGCAGCAGCTGACTTGTACAAAAAAAGAGGGATTTAGTCAGTTTAAGTAAATGAGCAGCAGCTGAGTTTGTGGCAGGATGTCATAGCGATTATCTTCACAAAAGCTTCCGATATTAGATTTTCCTTCTAAAAATGTATACGTGTGTGCGAGCTGCTCAAAGACAGATGGAGCATGAGTTAAACCACATGGCATCGCTGGATGTTGTCAAAGTGTTAAAAGCTATAATTCATCCGCCTCTCGATCGTCACTAGATGCATTTCTAAGAATGGTTGGCACTTATATAGCGCTTTACAATGTGTTTCTCATTCACCCATTCACACACATATTCATCCAGTGGTGCCATTCATGCAAGGTGCTGCCTGCCATTGGGAGCAACTTCGGGTTCTGTGTCTTGCCCGAGGACACTTCCACTGTGGAGGGGCGGGGGATCAAACCGCCAACCTTGCGATTGGAGGACAACTCGCTCTACCACCTGAGCCACAGCCGCCCATAACTCTTCAAATGATAATATTATTGCTTCATTTCTTAATCAAAGATTATCACCACTTAATGCATGTTAGATTTCTGCTTCATTTGTCCTGAATTCATGCAATAACATAGACAAACACACCCTCACAAGATCAACGCTGCTTTGGTTCTAGAAATCAGTGGTTCTCTTCTAACTTTACAACCTCAGAGCATGATAGCAAACTCTACCTTTATCTAAGAGCAAACCGGTTTAGGTACTGGGTCATCAACATGATGCTTCGTAAACAAACAAAGTCTTTTTTTTATTGGAGCAAGCTTCACTTTGTTAGTCGGATGTTGCATTATGAAGCTTTTTATTCAAAGAGTAAATGTTGTATGGTTGATGGTGAAGTCCATCCATGTAATGTTGCTGACAATTTGTTAATTTGTGTAGTTTGAAGGGGGCACGACCAGCAGGAAAGCCTGTTATGCTGATTTATAGCTGGCAGCAATCTTATATGATGCTGCTCTTTATGATGTTTCATGCAATATGGAAGTTAAAGCACACAGAGAGACCACAGATAACCTACACAACACCTCAGAAACTCAGTGGACTATGAATCTATAAGGAGCCTGGACAGGTTTCACTGCAAGGTGTATATTGTATATAACTCTGTATTTGACAAATACAAATACAATGAAGTAACCAATAGCTCTACATTACCCATGTGCTAAAACATTCATCATCATCTGCAAGAGGGAACCCACAACACCAAGAACACCACTACCACTCAGTCTCCTGCAATGACCAGTCTAGTGCTTGAATCTATCATCCATCCATCCACTATCTATACACCGCTTAATCCTCATTACGGTCGCGGGGAGCTGGAGTCTATCTCAGCTGACTTAGGGCGAAGGCAGGGGACACCCTGGACAGGTCGCCAGCCTATCACAGGGCTACACTTAGAGACAGACAACCAAGCACACTCACATTCACACCTATGGACAATTTAGAATCACCAATTAACCTCAACATGTTTTTGGACTGTGTGGGAGGAAGCAGGAGAACCCGGAGAGAACCCACGCTGCACGGGGAGAACATGCAAACTCCACGCAGAAAGATTCCAGTGCCCCCACCGGGACGCGAACCGGCGACCTTCTTGCTGCGAGGCAACAGTGCTAACCAACTGCACCACCCTGCAGCCCTGAATCTATCATATTGTAAATTATTATTACGGCCATTTAGCTGCCTCAGACCACGGACCAGTCAGATTGCATGCTCAACAGCTGTCTAGTCGGGTTACATGTGCATGCACACTTACCTGTATGTGGAAGAGCTGAGGTGAATGTGGTCAGGGACTCCATGACTCTCCATCCTGGAGGCAGTGTTAACAGTGTCTCCAAACAGGCAGTAGCGAGGCATCTTCTGCCCCACCACCCCAGCTAACACTGGGCCGGTGTGCAGACCCACACGGATCTGAAACACAGACACGCACCATGCCAGCACATATGTGTGAGTAAATGAACACAATGGTGGTCTGAATAGTCACATAAACCCAACTGAGAGTGTGAAGTGAATCAAATCAAGTAGTCGAGGAACTGGGCTTCTGATTTTACATTTTCCAGTTCAGTTGATTGTAATTTCAGGAAGCAGGAAGCGACCTGAGGAGGCATTCGCTGAGACTACGGGCAGTTCCATGCTGGCACACGCAAAGAATGCTAGCGTTCAAATCCAAATTTTTAAATGTATAGTTTTGTGATTGTTATTTCAGTTGTGTCTTGTTAGAATTTTAACTGTTGTGGATGCATGAGGTAGTGCAAAAGCATGGTGACGGTTTTAATGACCTCCGTCCGGCAAAAACATGCCGAGAGGAAGCTCAACTTAACATACTGTACAAGTAAATTAAACAGTTCAAATTTAAAAATGAGTTTAGCATTTTAGGTAAGATGTGCTCTACCTGAAAACGTAACCTGACTTCCTTAAAAGGATAATTCAATAGGATGCTTTGTTGAGCTAACTTTTATTATATTTGCACAAGTAAATATTACTAATTAATTCAACAAGATGTTTAATTTAAACAACTGTAACTTACATGCTTTTGCAACTCAACATATCAGTAGAAGTTTGTTGGTTTAAGTCATCTTTTTATGTTGTCTCAAATAGGATTTACTGGAGGTTTGAACAACTGTAAATGTTTTGCTTTAAGCACGAAAAAAACTTGTTGAACAAACTTAGTCGTCTTTAAGTGGTCGTTAAGTGTCGTCTTTAACCAGAAAACATCAGTGAATGAAGACCTAAGTGAAAATCCTTCGACATATATTGTTAAGAAGGAACCAGATGTCCTTTCTTGGCCAGTGGTAATCAGTTCTCACCTGTATGGGTTTGCCTGTGACAGGGTTGGTGACTTCTCTGGCAGCAATCCTCATACCCAGAGCAAAGTTTGCCACTCGGTGAGCATGAGTCTCTGTAGGGACTGGAACACCGCCAACCACCATGTATGCATCCCCAATAGTCTCAACCTTTAAACAATTAACCACAACGCACTTCAGACATTGATTAAACGATGCAAAACCCAAATTTACAATTATCCTGTTAAACACGTTGTGGTAAACGTCAGTCTACTATGTAGAGAATGTTGCATCTCACGGAATTAAACACACAACAGGGAGGTAATTCGAATACAACCACAGTACATTTCTAAATCAACATCATTAGGTTTGGGTTTGATCGTCAGATTCATTTCAAAACTGATCACAAGTTCATCAAATAGCTAAACTCACTTGGATGTGACACTAATGAATCTGAGCTGTTTCAGATTCAAAAAGCATGTTTAATGCTAGATTCATATTTAATTAAATACCACTGAATCTCGTTTATTAATCAAAACTTGGATTTTTGCGGCTCAATTACAGAAAATCAGATTTGTAAATTTGTAGTAAAGTGGGCGTGAATTATGTTATCACCTCCTAAAGATTGTGAATGTGAAGCTAAATACAGCAGGAGGAGCGAACATGTTGTGGAGCTAACAAATGGCAGTACCTTGTAGATGTCATGTATGTTGGTGAGCCTGTCAAACCTGGAGTACATGGAGTTGAGCATGTGAACTATGTGGATGGGTTCACAGGCAGCGCAGATGTTTGTGAAGGTTACCACATCGCTGAACAAAATAGTGCAGACCTCGAACTCCCCTGAAAGAGACACACACTTTGAGAGATCCTAAGTTTGTTCTTGAACACATTATGATAACCCTCCTCCAAGAGCCTTTCTCAGTCCCAACTGACTGATGAGGAGTCCCAGCTGTGTATTCCCACCCCCACATCACATGGTCATGGCCTGTTGACAACTCGTGTGTGAAAGGTTGTGAAACTGTCTAGGAAGGGATCCCAGGACTGTGTTATAAGTACCTGCTAAGTTGTGTCTGGGTCTGAAGGGATGATGTGTTTACCTTACCTGTATTTGGGAAGACTGTGTTGTTCCATTGTTTCTTCTTCTCTTCTCTGTTTCAGGTTGTGATATTTTTTTTCTGGATCTCTTTTCTGACTTAATGAAGGTCCAACTAGGAAAGCCACAAGTTTTATGTACTTTCTAAATATGACTCTTGGGTCATTGTTGGGCCATGAGCCATGTGATGTAGAGGTAAAAAATAAATACCTGGCAGTCAGTGAGAACTGATGAAGCTGCTTGGGTGAGAGCTGAAACAACTTTAAAAACAAAAAAGAGAAGTCCGGCTGCATTCTACTGGAACACTTAGGATTACCATGACCTGGACGTCTGGAATCCACACTGCACCTTGACAGATCCACAGGCAGATATGAAGACATAGACAGCCGGGTAGGTAAACAGACAGACCTGCCTCGACACTCTTCCCATCTTTAAGCTGATTAGCTATGTGACGTGGAAGCATGGCGTACAGCAGAGTCTCCGTCTTCTCTTTTTCAGCCTCCAGATGCTGCGACAGGATCCTTAGTTCCTCCTACGCACTCACACACACACACAAAGAAGACCTTGGAGTGAACTAGTTTCAAAGAAATAGTCTCACTTCTAATCTTTTGTGCTATGTCGTCAGATTTTCAAGATGTGTTTCAAACAATTAATTTTGAGTTTCATAACTTATTCTAGTTTCTAGCGTTTATATCTAGAGATAGCTTAATTGGAAAACATTACACTCATCCTTTTGTTCAGAAATACTATTCTATAGACAAGTTATTTTATTTGAAAGTAAAAGAAGTCACTTTCAAGTGCTGCTTTTCAAAGTTCACAAAGATTTTTTGCTTAGATGTAGTCAGACTTCAGACTAACATCGAAATTCATCACTAGAGATGTCTGCGATTCTCTCTGGCCTTGTTTCTCTGGATATGTTTTGCTGTAAGTATAAGTCCTTTTATGTTGCATCGCCAGGTTTGTTTGTCTTCCTTTCTGCTATAGTTAGGTCTCATTTTCATTTCAATCAGGTACTCGGTTAAATAAAGGCTATACAGCATAATAATACATCCACTGCACAAAGCTGTATATATGAATATTTTATTGGGAAAAAGTCAGCAACAAGTGGATCCAACAAAAAGCCTTCAAGCAGTGTAAAATGTCAGCACGTTGCCTATAGGACAGCTGAGATGTTGTGACCTGCAAATGCTGGTGCTCTGCTCTTGGTGTCCACAAAGGTCTGTGAGGGTGCACAAGACTTAGACTAAGTCTGCGAGAGTCTTCACAGACACCTCCACACGTTTGCATGCAGTGCAAAATTTGCATCCACAGTCCATGCAACGACTGCAGTATACAGGTGATCGTGTGCATGCTTGGTAGTAACCGGTATGTACAGAAAACATATATAAAACCTACTGTATAGGTATGCAATGGAGTTAAAAGTACACTTTCACAGACTACAAAAGAAGTATAAAAACAACACATATGCATCCATGGTGTCTGCAGCTGTCAATGTGCACTTATGCATTGGAGTATAATCAAAGCTAATATATCAAGCCTCTGCAGTTCTGCACACCTGTCAGTCAGATTAAGGATGGTTTCTTTGGACAACTTTAGGCAACTGACAAAAAACAGCGACTGTGGTTTCTAAAATGTATGAGGCTGTATCCTAAAAGTCCCTGAGTCAAGTCATCAGATCCATGTAAAAAAACATAAAAGAGCCACCGTGAAGTCCCCCATTTGTTTGTGGACTATTGTTTTAGAGCCTTGAGTTTGGAATTTGGCAGTCGCTATCCATTTCTGATGTAACAAACAAGTGGTGGATCATAGTGAGAAGTTGACAAAGCTATGTGTGGCAATAAAATAGAGACCTGTCGATTACAAGGTAACCACGTCCTAAAGCATCCCCTGCTTTATTCTGTATTTTAGTCAGAATGGGACCATAATTCACAAAATGTACAACATGCTGTATTGAAGGAGACTCAAAACCAGTGAGTGAGACCATAAACTCATTAGGAAAATGTTCACTGAAGTAATAAATTAAGGGAAAAGTAGGGTAAGAATTCTAAACCATCTGATTTCGTTTTGCAACCAGATGAGTCGCCCCCTGCTGGCCGTAGGTTTGTGGTACTGAACCTGACACATGGACAAGCAGCAGCAACAGCAGTGCATGAGTTCGACTTCACAGCGTGAGTCTTGTCTCAAAAGGATCTAACTACAGGCTAACTGTGACAGAAGGGTGATGGAGGTGAAGGCCAGCAGGACAAAAGACAGCGAGAGTCACGACAGAACAACTCATGTCCGTTGGCTGCTCTGATGCGCTCAAGTCTGACTGTTCTGTCAGTGAAGTCAGTTAAACTATGTATGAACCAGACAGTGGTCCAACCTCCTGTACTGCTGTCAGGTCTGAGTGTTCGCCTGACAGCACTTTTAGCAGCCCAGCAACACAGCACTCAGTGGAGCACTTGGGTTTCCTAGCCGAACACACACTTTTCCTTTCTCCCACTATGTGGAACTGAGATGTTTTCACACCACGGGTGACACACAAATGCATTAAAATGTGAGTCTTACAAGTAAAATAACTCCAACAAAAGTAGGCCGGTAGTACATTTTACATGGTTGGTTGGCTTCCATACAGGTTTGCTGAACTGACACTAACTCAGCAGGGAGGTGGATAATATATTTCTCATATTTAAGGTGCAATGATTTATTCCAGATCTAAACAAACACCATCATTCCCACTGAGCTGTATTTATCATGAACTGGCCTGCTACTGTGACCACTACAGAATGAAGTGGAAGCTGTTGTCCTACTTTTTTCCTCTCCAGCTGGTTGGTGAGCTCCATCTCAGCTAGACGTTGCTGGTTGAGAAGAACCAGGTCTCTGGTGACATCATGCTGAGCAAGGTCGGCCAGGTGAAGGCCAACATCCTGAAGCTCCTGGAGGTTTCGTAGCTTTGGAGAACACAGGTACAACATGCAGCCAAGGGACTCCATCCACAGCATCTGACCTGCAGATAAATCGAACACAGGTGAAGCTATAAACAGAATGCATTTCAAATCTTTTTTTTTTGTGGTTCCTGACCCTCCTCTTGGTTATCCACGGCTCAGCTCATTTTCATTTTTTCTGCTTTTATTTCTTGTCTACAAATAAAGCCAATGAGCTCTTTCTATCTCACCATGTTGAGCGTAAACACAAGTTGGGTTCACCTCAGGACTTTAGGAGGTGTTTGGTGTGCGAGTGATTCAAAAGGCAACAAGTAGCTCTTCAGCCTGAGAGAAGTCAGACGTAGTTCAGAGGACCCCCTAAGGCACGACCTACTCGCAATCAGGCAAATCCTGCAGGTAATTTGTTCATTCACAGAAGTGTTTTTGAAAAATTCTGCACTAATTAAGCTTTTTTTAATCATTCTTTTTTTGTTCTTTTTTTTTTTTATTAACGAGGCCTTTCTCTAAAAGTACTTCTACTAAGATGAAGTTGATTTTACAAGTTCAGTTTTTTTCAGCTGCACGGTGGGTGTTGGTGTGTTCATAAGATGTGTGATGCTATCAGAACCCACCTCTTAGTTTGAGCGTGTGCGTGTCTCTGTAGCTCTTCAAGACAAATTGACTGTTGATGAATTTCCTGATGCTTTCAATGGTCAAAGTCACCTGGAGGACAGAGGTACAGGCCGTGCAATACTGGAGTCACAGTGCACAATAGTTTTTTGGGGTTTTTTTGCATTAACCACAAGCAAGGTAATTCAAAAATATTGGTTAGGAACACAGGCATTTTCTCAGTTTGGGATGTATGGGTTGTGTCTGTATGTAAACATCATGGCTCCATATGGAAAAGACTTGTCAGAACGACTAAAATGATCTGACTGGGAGATTTTACAAAGATGGAAAGAATACAGGAAGATTGGTGACCAACTAAAAATCTGACAGCAGTAATCAGGAGGTGTAGAGAAATAAATGATATATATATATATATATACATAAATGTATTTTTCCTTTTTTAAAGCATAATTTTCAGGATCCATTTAAATTAAAAAAAATAGGTCAAATTACAACATCGTCTTATCCTTGTCCTGTTGATAAAATTTCGCAGGTTGCTAAGCAACTGAAGCAGCACTATGGGACACACCTATTGTGTCCATAATTAAACACGTGCTTGTCACATCTATGTATGGTCAATATTTTAAGATACATTAGGGAATAAGAAATTCATAAAATTCATAAAATTCATCGCTGTGTGTATGCAAACACTGTCTTCATGGAAGGACACTTGCTTAAAGACTTGTTGGTGCTCTAGTACGCTCAGGGCCACACAGGGGAGCCCTGGACAACCCTAACAGCTGTGACTCCATTCTGTGCTACTGTGTTTTTCTCCATTGGTGTATTTTACTGTATTCTACCAACTCTTGGCTCTGTATCTGTGTTTTACCTGTGGGTGTATAATGATGAAGTATTTGTCCAATGTAGCACCTCGAGCCTTCAGACCCGGAACAAACTTCTGTATGTTCACTCCTGTCTGCTTTACCTTCAGCTGATCCACAGCCCAGGACAGCGAGCAGGAACACAGAAAGGTGGCTTAAACACAATGCATTAAGATTTCCCATATTTGAACTGTGCCGGTGAATTAAAGAAGCAACATTCCACATTCTCATGAAGCTACTGAAGCACGGAAACACATGAAGCCTTACGTCTTCATCAAAGACAATGTGGAAAGGAAAAGCATCGCAGAAAACTTTCTCTTCCATCCACAGCTTGTCTGGGTAACATGGAGTGAAGGCACTCTGGGGGCAACCTGGGAAGTATATTAAGGACACTCATTGCTTTAGAATTGTATAAGTTTCTCTTAAATCATAGTAAATGATCCAGCAGTGTTGCCTTGTGGTTGTGCTACAGCATCCGTTCTTCAGCAGACTCATGTAACAGTTTAAATACTTTACTCCACCACGGTGTCTTTTATCTGAAGAAAATCTTATCTTTTATCTACCTTAAAAAAAAAGTGTGTTTAGCCTGGCCTCAAAAGTATTTGAATAGCTAAACTGTCAGCAAACTTCCTTGAGGTTTTTAAGGTTATTTCATAAACTGTGGCTCCTGAGATATAAAAAGTTCTGCGTGTCAAAGTTAAAGGAACGCGCTCATCATTAATGTAGCACCCACGCTAAGGACACCTTCAGGGTGATTGACTAATATATATTATTTTAGAACTGGTTGGTTAAAAGGAACTGCACAAATGAAAAAGGCAAATAAAAGTGGTGTCAGCAAGAAACTCAGTCTTCAGCCTCCCTCCACAGTGGGGTTTTTCTTCAAAAAGTTCAAAAATAGACAAGTTGCGATTGAAAACAGTCGGCACAGAGGCAGGTCACATAACTGTGGGTGGAAAAAGAAGGTGGGAAACAGCAGCAGGAATGGCTTCAGGGATCAACCAGAATAACCGTTTATTTGGAGAAAGAATTCCAGCCAGACTGTACTAAAGATACCACAGATGGACTGATGGAATCATGAACTCTGAAGTCTTAATGTGGATCTTTGAGCAGGATAATGATCCGACGTATACCAGCTGCCTGTTGAAACGTTATTTTGCTCAGGATAAAATCTTTGAATCTTAGAATGGCCCTGAACTACATCTCATAGCCACATATGGGAATCCAGGGAGAACAAATTTCAGCATGCCGATGATTTTTTTTTTTAGTTGTGGATAAACTAAAAGGTTGAGTCTATTCCCAGATGTTGTAAAGGAGCTCTGCAAGCTAGAACTAAATACTAAAACACTGGAACTGTCAAACTAAGTGAAGCCACTTTTTCCCTACATTTGGAACTGGAATTCTGTTGTTTTGTCATTTTAGAGAAATTTGTCTTTGACGTATATTTTGCATGACTTAACAGTAGTGTCTTTCGCAATGAAGTGCGAGTAAGTGTCCAAATACTGCAGCTGTCTGTATTTGGACCTTTTAGAGCTGGACTCTGTTTGTGATCAGCTTAAGTTTGAGGTGAAACTCGGAGCCTGGCTGTCTCCAAAGACGCCTCTACTCTTTGTTTTGGTTTTAGTTTGAGTTAAATTTTGGAGCTATTTCTTGATTAACTTTGTGTAGCATCTCTAACCTTTTTGTGAGAGAACCACAGCTCTGATCAGGTCCCAGCCACTCCTTTTCCCAGCCAGTGACACACTCCTGTCTCTCAGTCTGCTGTATAACGCCTCCTGGGAAAAATCACACTCCAAGCGGGCCAAGAAAACACACATAGTCATACAGCCACAAAACAACAGTACCACATGAGAGGGTAGTCAAACACCTATAGGGCAAACAGAGCCAAAACTTGTAGGAACAAGGCATGTTTGCCTGTTTCATCCTGTTGCAGAAAGGTGGCTGCACTCCTAGAAAGGTTGAGAACCGTTATCATAACTTACTGGATATCTACTGACACCATCTCCTGTGCGACAGGGGTTGTCCTGGTCTTTAGTCTTGCTAGTTTGCTTGGTTTGTTTGACAAGAAACACAACATGCTCCTTCTTCCCAGTCCGCTCACTTTCTTCAGATTGGTTGAGCACCTCCATGCTCACTTTGCTATCAAAAAACTCTCTGGCGACTGCCTCCATGATACCTGCAGCATGATGGGAAGATGGGAGACAAAGAAAATGAAGTTAGTGGGATGCCAGTGTGTGGTCAAGTGAACATGCACATTCAGATTCTTCCAGATCCTTTTCAAGTTTTGAGGAGTTTGATGTAATGTTTACAGACAAAATTGCTTGTCATAGTAGAAGGCTTGTATGCAGGTTTTCTGCTGATTGAAAATGACCAATTCTGAAATGATGCACTTGATTAAAAGTATGAAATAATCTTTAAGTGACATTTAATAGACAATTAGGGAAAAATCAAATGGAAAAAGAAAAAAAATTGCAATCAAGTTTCCAAAGAAGAAAAAGGTGAAAACTATGACCTGGTCCAGCATGTCGCCTGACCTGAATCCAACAGAACACCTTTGGGATATTTTAAGGAAAAGGCAGATATCTGCCTTTGAAGAATGGCAGAACAGTAGAAGAGTAATACTTCAGCAAGATAATGATCTAGAGCACACTGCAAAAATCAACCAAGAGTCTGTCAGGAAGAAAAAAGATGATTTATTACACTAACATGTACTGATAAAAGGATATTTACACATAAGGGCTTGTGCCTTTTACCTTTTAAAATTGTTGTTCATCATATTATACCATTCTGATGAGTCCATATTTGCAACTTAATAGTTAAAGTCAAAGATTAAAAAAGAATCACTGGAAGTCAATCAGTGTGGTTGCTTCTACCAGGTACAATGTGGTACAGGCCCTTCCGGTCAGAGTAGTAGTGAAGCAGCATCCTCCCATCCTCGGTCATCTCCACTCGAAAAGATGGTGCATTCATTTCCTTCAAAACAGGATGTATGATTCAGATCCAGCTCAAATAAAAAAAAGCACAATACAAACAATAAGAAAAAGCTTTTTACATTTTTTTTGCAAAAACTATAAATTGCTGCTGCTGGTCGAAAACAGATGCTGAACTGAAATAGTTTGCTGAGATAAGACAAAATGCGTAACTTCATCCCCATTATCATACATTATTTTTCAAGTAAGCATCAACTGACACCTGAGTGCACATTTTATTTTCAGCTATGAACATGTAGATTTAATATTTTCATGTATACTCTCTTCCTCACAAACAGTCCAAAATCATGTTGAGGTTAATTGGTGATTCTAAATCGTCCGTAGGTGTGAATGTGAGTGTGCTTGGTTGTCTGTCTCTAAGTGTAGCCCTGTGACAGACTGGTGACCTGTCCAGGGTGTCCTCTGCCTTCGCCTTAAGTCAGCTGGGATAGACTCCAGCCCCCCCGCAACCCTAGTGAGGATTAAGTGGTGTATAGATAATGGATGGATGGATGGATGGATGGATGGATGGATGGATGGGTACTCTGCGCAGCTTAAGCTATGCAGTTTGCAGGTGTATCAACAATCATGATATCAATGAATACAATCGCATACCTGATAGGAGAGTGCCAGGTAACTATGGAGAGCGTCCAGGTTTCCAATGAATTCAACGAGATTCCCTCCCAGTGTCCTAAGCATGGTGTCATAGCCGGCTTGCTTGCAGAAATTAAAAAAATGTTCTCCAAAAAGCTTAAGAAATGCATCAGCAGAGATACCTGAAACATCAGAACACACAGAGAAGAAAACTCCCACATAGCATTTGATAATATCTGCATTAAATACATAACTTTCAAAGCCTGGCCTCCTCTGTCCACTTGTTTGTCTTTTCACAGCACTAGCAGCAAGCAAGTAGTCCATTACAGCCACGCAGTCAAGAAAATCTGACCACTGGGAAGGTCTTAGAATGCATTCCTGACTAAACACATCTTTGACAGATTTTGTTTGTTTATGTCTCAGACTCTACGAGATCTCACTTAATCAAGCAGCCAGACCTCCCGGTCCACACCTGTTTGTCTTTTTACAGCACTTGCGGTAAGCAAATATTCAATTAGAGCACATTCCCAAAAGTATGTGCGGTCGAGATAATCAGACCTTGGGGAAGACCTCAGTAGCATGTTGACATTCTCTGAAAAAACAATTCTTGTTATGTTTAATAGGGACCCACCGCTCTGGGACTCAGTGCTCTATAATCTACTGATATGCCTGCAAATATGATCAACACATGTATAAATAAATGATTTGCTGCTGTTGTGGAAACTATTCACCCTTTACACAGGTGAACTGCACCGTGATAGGCCAGCTTTTTCAGTGCTGCCATTATTATTATGAGAGAAATAAAATTACAGATAAAACTATGTATTAATGTAACACTGTCTTACATATTACTGCAGGAAAAAAAGAAATCATTGAATTTCAGGGACATTTTTAACACCTTCAGGAAGGTCTGATTTGTGTTACTATGGCTCATTCTCTACCTCCTGATTGCTGCTGCATCTGTGTTAGAAGTGCTTTTTAGTTGATCTGATCTACCTGCATCCTTTTCTCATCTTTAGGAAGTCACACAGCAATGCTTTTCAGTTCCTCTGCCAATTCTTTTCCCTGATGCAGCCACGCAGAGAGATAGTCCATGGGGCCAAAACTGACTGAGAAGATTCTGCTGCTCATTTTATAATCATGTTTATGCAGTTAGGCTGATTGCAAATCACAGGTGTAATAATGGAGCTTCTGCAAAAACAAGCAGAAGTTTGATCTCTTACCCAGCAGTGAACAGGCCTCCTGCACCAGGCTGACTGTGAGAACATCATCATAAACCGTGTACGTCATGAAGGTGTCCTGGACTCCTGGTAGAGAACTTTACAAAAAAGAACGATCTTTATGAAATTTCTGTTGCTGTCGACATCACTGTAATCATAACATTTAACCACAGTGGCATTGCAATGAATAACCTCAGTTTGTTCCAGGTCTCCTGACCAAATCTCTCTATGACAAGAGACTTGAGGCAGCTGTTGATGAACCCATACTGCAGAAGAACACAAACAGTTTATCTGGTCAGCTCGTTAGTTCAGTTCAATGAGCATATAGACACACATGGCCTTCAATGAATGGTCTTGAGGGAATTTAGATCCTTTACTAACCCTCACATAAAGTTAAACAAAATGCATTACAAAAGCTTTACAACTTGCGGACAGTCAAAATTGAATAATGCTACAATAATTATGAACCATATCAAACATTACAGCTACAATCAAAACATTAACATGCATTCACTCTCTAAATACCAAATAGTTTCTTAGGTCTGAAAAATGTAAATTGTAAAATCTTTGCAAAATAAATAATCATCTATCCACCGCTTAATCCTCACTAGGATCGCGGGGGGGCTGGAGCCTATCCCAGCTGACTCAGGGCAAAGGCAGGGGACACCCTGGACAAGTCGCCACTTAGAGACAGACAACCAAGCACATTCAAGCATATCTCCACCGGGATGCGAACCAGCGACCTTCTTGCTGCGAGGCAACAGTGCTAACCACCACTCCACCTTGCAGCCCAATAAATAATCAGCAAAATTCATTGTATGATTTATAGCATTGCAACATCGTTATACTCTCTTAGAATTAGAATAACCTCAAAGAACTGCAATACTTCAACGTGTATATAAGATAATTTTTGGGAAAACTGGGATTTTTTTGTCAGATTTGTGTGCAAGTCACTCTTGACAGCAACTGATGATTATTTGTACTCATTAAAACTCACTTGTTCAGTGTTTATCCCCCTCAGATTTAACTTGTTGAAACAGACCTCCGACAGCAAATCAATGATCGACCGTTAGCTCACTGCGGCTATTTGAAAAACCGCCCACAAAGAATATTCAAAAGCTCAAGTAAACTTTTTGAACTTGACCTTTTGCTCGCCTACATTATGTGAAAGCTGTTTGTGCACAAAACACATAAGCTGCCAGTGACACCTGCAGCTCCACAGAAAAAAAGTCAGAGTGCGACATTTAAATGCACATAGATAAGACTGAAACAGTGAAATCAGTGTTGCAGCTCCAGTATTATTAGTTTTGCAAACCACCAGATGTCACTGTGCTGCTGAGTTTGAGCTTCATCAGGATTCATCCGTCCATCACTAGTTCTTCTTCTTTTACCCACAGATGTAATGACGTGCCTCGGCCACTGACTCACACAGAGATGTGACATTTTCCTCTTTTTCAGGCTTAAGCTGAATCTGAATCAGCCTTTTGCTCAGAAAAGGCTGGATAGGAGATGACTTCAGAAAACTGTTTCATGCATGAATTATCAGAAAACTGAGTGATTGTTCAAGTGTTTTAGTTCTTCCAAAAAGACATGTCCAATTGGATTTTTAATATTATTTCCAGTTACACCCGACAAGCCACTATGTTCACTGTGCATCAAAGGTTAAATGCTCTTTAAGGCAAAATAGTACAGGTAAATAGGGTAGAAACTTTAATAACTTAAATTAGGATGATATTTTTTGTATTCCAGGTTTTCTGAAAGCTTCATGGTTAAGTATGCAAATGTAGGATTATCTCATTTAAAATGTACAAATTTGAATGAATTTCCAGAACTGAAATCTGATAAACTCAGGTTCAAAATCATGCTTCCATACAAACTGTCATTCAGGCCCTTGTAATGCTCCAATGATGACTGGATTACAGAATTCACCAATCAGGGATATGAGGGTATAGTCCCACACAGAAAAGAGGTTACAGACATTTATCCAATTAGTGGCAAAGTGCTGACTAATGGCCGTGAAACCACGTCGCCCAGTAATGCCTGCTGGTCAAAGTGACCTTGATAATGTTGGTGAAACCTGGAAAAGAGGAGCTCATTTTATAATACAGACAGGGTGACAGAACCGATCATTAGAAACTAAGTACAAAGAGAGAGAACAAAGCAAAAACCTCCTGTTTCTTCAAATTCAGAGCCAGTAAGACTGCAGAAGTATGCTGCATCAGAGCTGTCCTCAGGGCAAGAAATGAAAAGGATGGAGGGCATCAACTACAAATAGTGAAACCAGACCAGAGCCAGAGGACAAGAAACAGCAGCACATTGTGATTAGGATAAGAAAAACAGCACTGAAATACTGTTGCAGCAGTTCTAGTGACCTCATGGTTCTCAGCTAATGTTGAATGGTGGGATGCAGCCGACTACAAAATAGAGACACCCCAGGGCTGCAACACATGCTTAGGACGATGCAAAGTCTTTCAAAATAACTCCACCAGACAAATCAGAATATTACACAGCTTAGAAGTTACACGCAAACAGAGTTGAAACAAACTGGAGTCAACTTTTCCTCTGCATGGTAGAGCTCAGTGAACAGGACACAAATGATAGATGCATAGATATCTCCTGGCTCACACTCTCTCAGATGCATGAACCAAAAATCGTGTCTCTACACAAGTTATGGACCAGAAGTTAAATGCAACCAACTGGCCTCGAAACATAGAATATATTTAATGAACAAAAACCCAACTGAAGTTACATGTTTGCAATTAAAATATTTAAATTGCGTATTATTGAATGATTCAGGAGCTCTGAATGTTTCCACACTGAGGAAGATAGGACACAAAACAACCTCAAAAATGGTACTGACCCAGAAATACTCCTTTTGACAGCGCTGTATGTGGGCAACACTCTACAAATACTTGAATTACTCTTGGAGATGTTATCTAACGAGAAAAAAAGATTGGGTAGGAAATTAGATCCAGCAGAAACAAGAGGTGACACCAGGCTGTACCAAAAGAACCTCTGTGAGCACTACAAGAGCTACACTGCAATAGCAAAAACACAAGGAAATAAGTAGTTTGTGATGGCAGACAGAGGGGGGAATGTTGGAAAAAGAAGGAACCTTCAGGGAATGTAGCTGGGATTGATATTTATGCTGTGTCAGCAATTCACAAAGAAGAAAATATTGTATTTTACAGGCAACTGCAGTCAGAGTTAAGTTGATTACTGTGGCAACACTATGCAAATACAGCATATTACTAGAAAGTCTATTTTTGTTTGTGAATCCAAAGTCAAATTGGGATGGATTTGTTTTTTTAAATTGGATCTGAGTTGGTGCAACATTCATAGAAGACAAAACAGAGGCTTGAAGCAATTAAAACATCACTGAACTGACAATTATCTTCACATATTACACACATAAAATGCTGTTTTTTTGTCTTTTTGCCATTCTGTTGTTTTTTCCTTTCCGAAATCTACTTCAAAAACAGTTTTTTTAATTTTTATTTGAAGTTTCGCACCTCATTTTTGACAGATGCTTCGGCGATGTTGTTAACCTGATATTCATGCCAATAAAAACATGTTTAATTGAACTGAACTGAAACTCAAAACTGCAAAAGTCTCATATTGAATCCCTGCAGACTGTAAATATTTCTATTATTTACTCTCTTAATTCTTTGGGCTGCTACTTTTTTTTTTTTTTTTTACTGAAATTTTCTACTTGTCAGTGTTTCACCAAAAACACTAGGTCAAATTCCTCGTACAGGAAAACCCACTTCTCAACAAAACTGACTCTGAAAAAGTGAGACATACTCACCATCTCTGCGTTAGATGCTCTCCCACTAAATTCTAATGATGCAAATGCAGAACAGACTTTATACCAAGCTGCCTTTCTCTCTCTCTCAGTGTCTCTTGGGGTAAGAAAATCCCTTGGAGAGGAAAAATGTGAAGAAACCTCAGGGAGAGCAGGGATCCTTCTTCCAGGATGGACAGACATTCAGTGTTGAGTACAGGAAGGCAACATAGCAGATTTACAGTATAAACAGTGAAACGGACAAAACTCTAGAAGTTTATTAGATTATTATGATCCATGAGGGTAAGAAGTAAATCCCAGGATGAAAAATGACAGACTACACGAGCATACTTTTAACAGGACAGCATGAACACACACAGGTGGAACAGAAGGACAGAATCCACTGCAGGATCAAGACTTAGATGACCCTGAATAAGGCACCAGCAGCCAGAGAAGAGGCCTCAGCAGAGCCACTGTGTGGACTGGACTTGAGGTGTTTTGCCCATTAACACTAGATGAGAAAATGTTATTTAGAGCAGCTTTCTGAGTATGTTTCACGAGATCTGAGAGTGTTTGATGTGGTTGGTATCTAGCAGCAAAGTTGGACAAAAGAGAGCCTGACACTTTTTTTTTTCCTTCTGAGCCTGTTGTCACTTCAGGAGGTCGGCCTGGGGCGGTCTGTGTGGAGATGCTGCACAGATTACAAATGGGTAAAGCACAATAAGTTTATTGAGCTGTTTGTGCTGTTGACACTCCGAAATATTCTAAATGAACAAAGCAATCCTGAGAGTCTCTAAGCTGGGTGATATGACATCCAACAGGCTTAACTGAGGTGTCACAAATGATACAGATCTGTATAATCTGATGGTGCCACGGCAATGCAATTTAAAAGTTTTCTTTCACCTTAGCTTGGCAAAACAAGCCACAAAGCTGCTACACTTTTACAGATGCAGGAGTTGGATCATGAAGGTAAATGTTGAGATTAGTGGGCTTCAATAATTTCACATTAAAATTATACATCACAGGCACCCACTTGGGAGAACATTCTTTGATTAGATGAGACCAATTTGTACAGCTCAGATGGGTTCCAGCATGTTTGGCGTGACCCTGGTCAGGACTACAACAGTGAAGTCCTGACAGTGAAGCACACTGTGGATACACCAAAATACTAGCTGGCGAGATCACCACGTAACTGCGCAAACACAGAACCCAGCTGAAGCGTAAGAGAATAGTTTTGCTGGTGTTCGCTCAGAAATCAACATCACACAAGACAAAGACAAGTCCAGAGATCACATTCAACATCATCACTGGTACCAAGAAAGACAATGTGACTTTCTCTACTATATAACATAAATATACTCTTTATTTCTGTTTACATAATTTTAGAAGGCTAAACTTTACCAGCCTTGTAGAAGGAACATCTTGTCAGAAGGCAGGCCACGAATTCAATATCAAGACCAATGGAAACAAAACACTTTCATTTACAGATAAAACTCTTCACTGAACAGACCAACTCAGCTCTGCTTTGCTGTGACCAACAACCAATGGATCGCAGAGAAACCTGGGTCTGTTCTGAGATTAGAATAAAGTATTGGTCAGCTAATACTTGTCAGGCTAAAATGCTACTATACCAAACATCGCTCATATTTACATACATACATACATACATACATACATACATACATACATACATACATACATACATACATACATACAGTACATGCATACATTATCCACTCTGAATGCAATGAATCTTCACCAATCCTAAGCACCTGGCAAAAACAGATTAGCTACCCTGCCATAAACTTAACTAAGAAATGTGATATTTGTGGGCCTAAAATTGGTCACAAGTGGCTTTGATACAAACGTACTGTGAAGTCTCACTGTCATGTGCCTACAGTATTTGTTCTCGGTGTGTAAGAGTGGAAATGACGGACGGGTTATTTGACAGGATACTAAAAAAGCTGTGATCAAGAAGTTGAAGCATGTAGAAAAGACCGTTTTCAAGGCAGATATTTTGACCCCTTGCAGTTGAGGAGGCAAAGACGGAATCACCAGTGGCTCAGTTCAGTGCAACACTACGGCCAGGGTCCACAAGGATCCATGTGATGCGAGTTTCGTCGTCTCCGCAAGTGGGCAAGAACCTGTGTGCAACCTAAAACTTGTGTCTGTGAGAACACCACGCAGGGACTACGCTGCAAGGGCGACAGTGTGCATGCATGGAAGTAGACCCCTGCGGACTAGAGAAGCAGTAAAACAAGTCTGCATTCAGTCTGTCAACACTACAGTAGAATCAAGGCTTAAGTAATGAGGTTGAAGTAGCACAAACACAAGCAGGACCTTCCCTAAACCTTGATTATACTCCCTTGTAGACGTACACATGGACAGCTGTGGCCTAGTTGTTGCTATTGTGCTGCTTTGCCAGTCTGCTGGAGTCCACTTGGAGGACTCCCTTCCATGTGCAGTAGGTTGTCTACACAACGTGCACTTTACTACCCTTGTTGTGCAGTTGCCACATGGAGTCCACTAATTCTGGGCTACACAGGCTCTTAACGACGAAATGTATGCCATATAGACTCTTGTGGACCTTCACACACTTGCGGTTCTGTGAAGTAGAACAGCCATCATTACTACACCTGTGCTCTCCCGACTGTGACAAATCAAAATGTCCGTTGAGAAAAAAAATCCTGCCTGCCAGCAACATGTCTATGTGGAGAAAAGGGGCCCAGTAGAAGCAGCAGTGAACACAGGGCCAGTGTAGAGTCCTGGTCCATCGACAGGAACCTTGAAAGAAAATAAAATACGTTATATGTTGAATTTTATGACATAATTTTTTTACATGGCTACTTCTCACATCTACTTCTTCTCATTGTTCTGTTTCCTTTGAGGTGCTGGACTTTATATTACAGTGAAAAATGAGCCCACAGTGAGAAAAAATATGACAGGAACAAAAAACAAAAAACAGGAAAACCTCATCCAGAATAGTAATTTGGTTAAACTGGGCACCCCAACCTCCAATTATATATTGCTAAAGTTTTCTTTTCGTGGAAGGAGACTGTAGACAAGGGTGTGTATTAGTAGCTAGAGGGTTTATTCTGTGGAAACATAATTCAGTTGTTTCAGGACCTATCATAACAATATGGGCTGAATTTAAACCAAACATGAAGATATTTTCTAATTTGTTACGCCCTGAAGGGAGTGTTTGGGTCAGGTCCCACAATTAAAAACTTAACTCAAAACTATCTAATCTCGATCTAATGTGGAAGTTTCTATTTAATGGTGAGGTTTAGGGGCTCTTAAATGTGTTTGGGAAAGCAAATTAAGACAACATTGAGGGAGTGGAAATACACTCACAATGTATACAGTGTAATTTCTGTTTGAAAGCATGTGAATGTTTTGGTATTTCCTTTTGGAAATAATGATGTCAAATTAGCCTTTAGGGTCTATTTGCTGAACTGCATTATGCTGTTAAAGCAGGAATAATTCTCATCATATATACCTCTCCCAGAGCCTGCAGGGCAACTGTAGCTGCCATGGCCTTGGCGTGCTTCTTATTGGGACTCGCTGTCTGAGGCTGGTAGTCGACACCATTCACTGTGACCTGGAAACAACACGACGTATGGATGAGTGTTCAGTGTAAGCAAACCTCAAGCATATACCTAAAAAAAAAACCATTTTAGCTGTTTTGAAAACTGTGCCAAGTTCCCAATTACAAAATCATTCAGTCTAACTTCATTTATGTGCTCATCCACCATTTACTTTCTACCTGCTTGCTCTAAAACGTCTCAACCACGCGCAAAGCAGCCAAATGTTCTGCTGTTGGCTGCAGGAGTGAACACAAAAGTCTTCATGCACTCACTTGGGAGCAGGAAGTAGGCAAGATTGTGCTCATTTTTTAGCAAGATGAGTGGTAATCTAGTTCTACATAGCACCTGGATGAAAATCTTGTGGGGGCAAGAGGAGCTTTTGTTTCACTCCTTAAAGCTTTGGAGACATACAACACACAATAAAAATGGATACTGGATCGTTAAAGCAGCTGACTTTCTGTTCATAATGTCTATTTAATACACATTCATGTCCCCTTCAGAGTGAAACGTAATAACTAAGGTGAATGAGGCTTTAGCACCACCATCAGCTCAGTGCCCAACACACAGGTGTATGAATATTGCTGGCAGTGTTAGCAGGCTAACATAAATCGAGAAGAACATGTTAAATTACATATGTGCTTCATGTTGTCTTTGTGGATGCATTACCATATTGATGTTCGCGCTACTTTAAAGCAATGCGGTGTCTTAGTGCGGACTGTCAGAGAAGCTAGTAAAACTGTAGACTTCATCTTGTCAGAGGCAGAAAGCAAGTGAAAACAAATTCAAGCTTAAGAGAACATTTAAACTTGTAAAACATGTAAAAAAAAGGGTAAAGATTGACACACAGAATAAAATAGTCCCACCTTGAAAAGAAAATTCTTGCGGTGGTCGGGACCACTGTGATGAACCATGACGAAGTCTGGCTGCATTATCCGTCTCTTGTTACACAACTCAATGAGAGCAGATACCGGGTGCTTCCCTGCGCACAGATAAAAGGGCATAATAAGATGAAAGAGGCAAACAAACAATCCTCAGAGGCAGGGATAATCTGCCGAAGTTGAATTGATATAACGTGTTGAATATTCATACATTTTCACATTCACTTTGCCACCCAGCTCTTCACGGTGTTTAAGAAATGCTTTCATCAGAAAAGTACAATCTGTATATTTTTGATGTTGGTGCAGGAGAAGGCTGCATCTTTTTTTTGCTGTTCAAGGTGAGTCTTTTGCTACAAATGTTATCTGGGTCTGTTTCCAAAATATGAGAGCCGAGGAGTCTTAAAACGCATAAATAACGGTTAGCATGAGCTCACATCTGTGGATCAGTTATGGAAGGATTTGTACAAATTATTTCAGATATTTAGATTGACTTTGCTAATTTGTGATTTTACGAGGATCGACAGAAGTTACTATGAAGTTGAAGTTTCCTTCATTTCGCAAGATGTGTTGCAAAGAGACTAAACTCTCTAGGACCCTCTGGTTTTTGATTTACGAGTGCAGTTATATGTGCTACATTTTTTTAAAACGTTTTTTCATTATAAGCGCTTCCTACTTCCATCAGTCACAACCAAACTGTTGGTGCTTACGTGGAAACCACAATAAATCCTCGCCAGTGAATCTCAGGAAAACTCTTGTTGTTATTTATGAGAACTGCTCTGAGCTTGAGGACGAATGTCTCGCAATCATGTGAGCATGTGCACCAAAGTGGCTGACAGTCTACAGAAAAATTGATTTATAGGGGGCCTGTGTAAAATAGGGGGCAAAATGTAAAGGTACAAAGTGCCGGGCTGAAGGTGAACAGCATCATAATTTCTACAGGACAATATTCAGGTGTATTTTCATGCTGTGTATCTGTTACCCATTAGATCCTTGGTTACCACCAGCCCTCCTGTTTGCTTCTGTGGCTTCTCTCCTTCAGCAACTAGACCTGAAATAAAAAAAAATCTTCATTAGCATCACCCCTACCATTACTGCCATAATTTGAATCATTTGAACAGCACCCTCTCCCTAAAGACTAAAGGAATTCAGTGTGACAGTGTGATACTGATTGATTATTATGAACCGTTATTTGCAAAGTGTTAGCTGTTCAATTTTGTGTTTTCTTGTTAGACTTTGTAGGCGAGATGTTAAAGTGGTCCTGGGTTTAATGAAGAGAAATCGACAATGACAGTGACCTCCGCCATTTTTATTTAATTCTTGCATCTGCACCAATGTCCCAAGAGCCAAGGGGGAAGGCCTAGATCAACTATGATGACAGGGATAGACTGATGTGCAGGTGGTTCACAGTGTGACTAGTCGACATGAAGGGCTACGTATCTGTTCCTTCCCTTGAGACCCCTCCACCATCATCTCCTTATAAAGCATGTTGTCAGGATTCATAATAAAATCTGTATCAGCAGGCAGCGGGTTCAGTTCTCTGCAGCCCCAGACCTTTGCGGTCGACCTTGAAGTCAATAACGATCGGTTCCACGGTGCCCTCGCGGTTCCTCCCAAGGCCCTCTCCTGTCTTCCAGCCCATCTTTCTCATCAGGAACTCCCCGACACCGCCCGATACTGGAGCTGCCCTGAGGAACTGGTCCTAATCAAGACCCAAACAGACACAGTGAGATATTAATGAGGAAGGAAATACATTCGACGTTAGACCTCAAGGATGCGTACAGTGTGTTTTTGTGAGTAACACTGAATATAAACTGAATTTGTGTCTGAGAAAACCCCACAGGTAACCGTTTATTTTGAAGAGCAAGCAGTTAAGTTATATTCAGTTTAGGATTTAGTTTAGGCTGCTGGGGATTGAACACACATTACTGCAATAGAGCGTGGCTGCTAATGCTAGCGCTAGCAGCCGAGGAGCCCAGAATTATTATTATTTTTATTCTATTTTGGGATAGTAATGTTGTCTTTTGAAATGGAGAAAAGGGAAGGGCCAAAAATTAGTCAATCAAGCTATGGCATTATCATCGGATAATTCTTGACCATCTTTCAAGCCCTGAGAAGTCAATTAAGGCCCAACAATTTAATGAAATAGAGGACATGCTGCAATTTCTTTGACCTTTTTTTTTCACTTTTTCAGGTAAAGAAATAAAAAGCTACATTGCATAAACAAGTGAAGAAAGACTGATGGTTAATTTGTGTTCCTGAAATGCTGTAATGCTGAGCCTGTGTCTCCCCCTTGTGGCCGTGGCAGGAATTACACAAACACTGTCCACACGTGTTTATGCCTCGATGTTGGTTGTGGGTTTTTCCCACCACACTCCTCATTGCTGGAGCCTACTGTGTCTCTGTTGCTATGGTTGCTCCTCTCTTAATTGTTGGCTGATGTAAAATGCCTTGCTACTGGAGCAAAACTCTAATACGCTGCAAAACACTGAGAGATTTAGCAGCCACTGACAGGCTTTGTGTGAAGTTGAAGGTTCATTTACATGTCAAAGTCCTGCACTCTGGCTTTGATGTTGCTTTTCTTTATATTTTGTGTGTCATATTCATCATTCAATTGTTGTTTTTTTTCTTTTCCTCTTTCTTCATTTCTGTCCATGTGCCCCTCTCTGTTGGTGTGTATTATCAATCAACACCTAAAAAAATTAACAAAACACTAATGGAAATGTATGGCAGCTCTGTCTGTACAAACGAGTGGCATTAGCAGTGACAAGTACAGCACTGCACAGGGAGCAAAACTAATAATATGAATAACAATAAATAACAAAGCATTCCAGGTCATTAAAAGGTGTAGAGTTGTCTGCATCTTTATAGTACACATGTTCATGGTCTTTTTCGCAGCATCTGTCGCAGTGATTTCATGTGTCTCACCTTCTTCAGCCATGCTTGAGGTCCACTGGTTGACAGCTCCTCAGAACTGAGGACCTGCGCCCCAGTCGAACCAGTGAAGAGACCAGGAACGGTGTTGGACTGAGCCCACGCATCGACCTATCATGAAACATTTCCATGACAGTGTGTCGCATTATTGTCATAATTAGTCAGCAGTAGTTCACAAGTCAACAGATCCTCTTGTTTGAAAGCAGCATGTGAAGCAATAAGACAGAAAAATGAAAAATGAGCAGCTGTGTGGCCTGTAAGTGTTCCAGCTTTACATGAACCTCATCGCAATTTAACGAAAATAAAAAAATTAGTTTAAGTTGAAATCTATTCATGAAAAAAGCTGACCTAGCTGTCATTTTAGGTTAACATTTTAAAGCCTGTATAACATTATGTTCTTTTGTGTAATTTCAAATGAAACTACAACATTTTAAAATATATTATTATATGAAATACATACAATATTTTAGTGGTAGTAGTTTAAACCCTGCTAGTTCTTTGACCTACATTTACTATGACAACCAGTTTTACATGTCTCTCTCATGATAGCAACTTAATGTATGTTTATTTTACTATTCTGTTTAATAGTCACAATGCATAAAAATAAAAACATTGACATATTACATGGTATTGCAGGAATGTCACAGTAAGAAGAGAATGCCACTTTAAAAAAATATTTTGAATTAGCCTCACCTTGACGAGCTACAACATTCATCGTGGTCAGTAGTCTATTCACCCTCTGAACCTGAAATCGCTAAACTGCTAAAATTACAGCATCTATCAAAGCCAGAAATTGTAAAAACAAAAAGAATCGTCCAGTTTTCTACTCTCTGTCTGTCCTTTAACTAAGCACGTGCAACTTTCGGTTCCATCGGGTAAATTAACCAAATTTCAGTTTTGACAGGAGCAAAAATCGTCCAGAAACGGATCGGAGTTTAGAGGGGTAATATTATATATATTAGTTTAGCATTCACAAGAGCCACTATTTGTTATTAAGTACTTTCACAAATAATATATAAGTGTACTTCAGTGATATGTTTGATGTACACTTTTAATGGAGTTTCTCCACAGCGTTTTTTGATACTTTTACTAGAGCAAATGATCTGAATAGTGTCTTCATCATTGCTGCATCGTGACTATATACCCTGAAAACTATGACATTCCCAGCTTGAACTGTGCGTTACAGTCGTCCTCGAATGTATTCATACCCTCCCAATAAAGAAGGGGAAAAAAAGCTGTCACTGAAATAAGTTGAAATTGAAAAAAGTAATAATAAATAAAAATGTAATGAACATCATGACATTGCTTTTGAATTGTGGTTCAACAGAAATATAAAAAAAACACACACACAAGCAAACAAGCATGATGGAACCCTTAAACTAATATTGTGTTGAACAAACCTTTAAACCAGTCACTGCCATCAAGTGTTTTCTGTAACTCTCAATCAGACTTCTGCACCTGTTGACAGGCATTATGATTTCACTGCTCATCAGCAAAGTGCTCTAATTTGTCCAAGACAGATTTTTTTTTTTAATTATTCTTTTCAACCACAATTCAAAAGCAATGCTTATTTCACTAAATTATAATTTAGCAATTTTTTATTTATTATTACTTTTTACAGTTCCTAGTTATTTGAGTGACTATTGTGAGTTTTGCCTTTTCTTTAATGGAAGGGTCTGAATACATTTGAGGATGACTGTATGTGTTTGTGTTATGTGCTGATGAGCTTAGCACACTGTGAAAAACATAGCTCTTCCAAACATCAGGCTATCATCTGGCCAATAATCTTGAGCGTCTTACCTGTTCTTGTGCCCGGCTGAGCATGCAGATGGCACTGATGTCATAGGGGTTCTCGGCCAATCGCCTCTGAGCTTTGATCCTCTCAGTCACAGCCTGAGTGATATCTACCGGCTGCAGAGACAGTGCAGAAGAGACAGCGTAATCTGAACATTTCAACTTTGAAAGCTGCAAAGCAAAGAGCCTCAGTAGTACATGAGCTTCTGTACATTCAGGGTCAAACTCAGAAAAGTTCACAAAATTAGGAAAGCCGGGACAACACTCTTTTGTCAGTGATGTACAGTAAACTACACCTGGTTTATATCATTGAAAAGTTTAAACATCAGAAATCCTGTCCACTGTATACACATTTTTTTGATTTTACATTTAAAGTTAACAACCAAAGGCAACGTTCTTTAATTTATTTTATATTTTATGTCTGCCTTTGTTTCTGACAGATCACTTGTGTCATATGCTAAATGTTTTTTTTGTGTTGCCTCCTACTAAAATAAAGCATGTTCTATTAGATTCAGATCAGGGGGATTACCTGGTGTGGTCCATAGACTGCATAAAAGATGGACGTAGCTACCGTGACGTCACCTGTTGGTTTCTGCACTGAGAAAATGAAGCCAGGGTTTTGCTACTTCCTGGTTGACATCTTGGATTTTTGGAGCCAGTGACGCAAAAATCGTTGGAGGGGGGCGGAGCCATAGGAGCAGCGATTGGTCAGACGGATTGAGAGGCGGGCCCTCTCTATCCGCCCACATTTACCGCCTTCTGCTCGCTTCATCTATATGGTCGCTGCCGACTGTCAATCAAGCCAGCCACGCCCCTTGCCCCGCAAAATGTTGAAGATTTTTTAAAAATTCAGTATTGATTTATTTTCAGATGGGCCACCTGACCTCTGGACTTGACCATGAAAACTAATTTTAAAAAAATCCTGAGCTGTAGGAATGCGGTATTTTGTGATCTGTGATCACTTCTTTTCCAATTCATTTCTATGGGAGCCAGGGCTTTTTGGAGCCAGGACTAGCGGACGTAGTGATATTGCAGGTTTTTGACACTTCCGGGTTGGCTTCATTTTTCAGGGCTGGTTGCTACGTCCATCTTTTATACAGTCTATGGTGTGGTCACAGTTTTCACTTCTTTTATTATTTAAAAACTCCTGTTTACTGTTTACTTGATGTTTTTCTCTTCAGTGTGACTGTCTATCAGGCCCTAGATTCCACAGCACATTAGTGGCCAAACATATTTTGCTATAGTTTTAGGATCAGGAGTAAAATAAGCTCATCGACTATCTAAACCAAAAATCAAACCATTTTACAGCTCTGACATCGAAAACAATTTTTAAAAACACACAACTTTAACAGCCCAGTTCTCACCTGTACTAGTGGGTCAGGGAAGACTTTGTCACTGTCCGTGCTAAACGCAGGCTGTTCTGCAGCTTCCGGTTGCCCGACTCCTTCTGCCGTGTCTCCTGATGAGGTGGCCGTCGTCATGGGAACGCTTGTCACGGCCTTTCTGGAGGAAACTGCAGCTTTGTCTGTTGTTTTGTCAATTGGAACCCATTCTCCATAGGCACCCAGTCCTTCTCCCTCCTAGAGAGAGGAACACAGAACATCAGTATGGTAAAAGGGCTCCTCAAGACATGTTTAAAGAAATTGGGAAAAAAAAACAAACTCTCATTTACTGTCTGGTGAGACATTTATCTCCATTATTGGAAAAACTGTTCATTTTGATTCCTTTTTTTTTTTTTTTAATCATTTGTGGGGATGAATCCTTTGGTTACATGTAGTGTCCACTCAGAGTACTGCACTGTAAATATTTGACCAAAGCAGGAGTATGTTTGCTTAGGTTAACATTTGTCAGCTGTCTGATTTTTTTATTATTACTATTTTTTTATATATATATTTTGGGCTTTTTGGCTTCATTAGATAGGACAGAGAGAGAGACAGGAAAGTGGGGGGAGAAGAATGGGGGAAGGACCTGCAGCAAAGGGTCACGAGCGGGAGTCGAACCCATGACCGCTGCGTTGGGGACTGGAGCCCCTATACATGGGACGCCAGCTCAACCAGGTGAGCTACAGCGGCGCCCCAGCTGTCTGATTTTTAAACTAAACTTTGAAATAGAGTTATAAAATCCATATCTCCTGCACTTCGATTCCGACCTTCTTACGATGTTGTGATCCTGAAGACACAGGAAACTCCTTGGCCATTCCTGCATCACTACGCACTGCTGGACGAACAGTCGTATTCTGAAAAGACAAAAAGAACACTGAGCCCTCTGAGGACATACGACCTATGTACTGCTTTACCATACTGCAGCATTTACATAACCTACTGTCTCTTCTAGGCAGGAGTTACTACATATTCCCACATCATTTACAACATTAGAAACTTCCTTTTTATAGTCAACTCATTTAAGACAAAGTGTTACGTTGATGCTGAAGCTGATGACTTTTGGTTCTCGAAGAGCAGATCCTCCAAAGGGCTTCCCATCATCCTCTTCATCTGAAACATGAGGCAGCGCCACAGGCAGCTCTCCTGTACTGTCCACAATCATCTTGCATTTCTACAAACACACACACAGACAGTACATCACTAGTCTGTGTAGGTTCTCAGTCATCCTGGTGCTGGTAATCTTATGAGTTTTAGTAAAAAAAACAGCAACTGGACTTTAATTTTAGGTTCTTGGAAACGTTTCTCCTCTTATCCACGAGATTTCTTCAGTTCTAGCTGACTGCTGAGGAGTCACAGGTATTTATTTTTAGCTGTTTTATTCTCAGGTTGGGTGTTTTTAGTTCTCTCTGATCTTTTAACATGCATTTCCTGCTCTTATCAGCATTTTTGTGCTTAAATCATGAAATGTTTACTTCTTCAGTGAGCAGAATTCTCGTCTTTGCTGTTCTTTTTTCTATTTTTAAAAACTACTACAGCAATAATGGTTAAAAATGACATGAAAACGCATCGTTTTTAATCAAACACTACATGTATTACCATTACAGAGTTAACTGAATAGTGGTCTGTTTTCTCTCCAGCATGCGTTATGCAATCTGTGCACCCTTACATCAGTAAACTCCTTAATGCTGATGCTGTTGGCCTGCTTTGCTACTTTCCTCTTCACTTCCTCCAGAGCAGCAATGCTGGCTTGTGCAGGGACAGGAGGCGGCTTGTTAGTAATGGAAGGCAGTGGGAGCAGAGAAGACAGAGTGCCCATGTTTGACAAGGCTGCCGTCACGGTGGCTATAAAGGAAACAAGACAGAAGCAAATGAAAAAAAAACAAGCATCTCAACTGTTTATCTCAGAACATCACCTACATAGTAACTTTAAATAAACTATTTAAACAATAAGCCCAAAGGTTTATCATTTGCAGGTAATGATGGAGTTTATGTGCGGTTAATGATCTTCTAATAAATTAAAGAAATACACTTTACTCAGAGTAGGACAAATTACAGCCTAAATGAGCATAAAGCTGAATCAACAGCTCCCTAAATCAGCTCCAAGTGAAACTGAACAACATAACTAATCCTGAGGATGAAAAGCCCAGTTGTTCCATGGATGGACAACACAGCCTGGGTAGCAACAGAAATCATACCAGCAGTCATACTGGCCATTGCAGCATTCATGGCCATAGTTGGCAGTGCCAGGGGAAGCACTGTGGACCTCAGGCTGGCAGGGATGGGCATTCCAGCTTTGGCACACATAGCAGCAGCATTGGCTTTGGCAATTTCTAGCAACTGCTCTTTATCTGAGGAAACACACAGAAGAGAAACATAAACATCTGGAGTATTTATGCAACCAGCTTATTTACAGGCACACAAACTACATAAAATGCAGTTCTGAAACAGAAACGGCAATGAACACTACAAACAAAAGTCAGATTTTATTTTTAAAAATCTGGAGAGCGTATGGATAATGTACCACATTTTTACTGGTGAACTGAAAGAGATGTGAGACGAAAGACAAACTCAAGAAAAAGAGATGTTTCTTTTCACTACCACAGTTCCAGTTATTCTTTGCATGTGGACGCCAGAATGCAAGTGACAAACAGAACAAGCAGCACAACAGTCAGTGTGCGACATTCACATGAGTGACGTAATAGTGTCTGACCCAGTTCGCTGATGCGCTGAGGGCTGTTGTTCGAACTGCCGTGTTTCCTGGAGGGGGATCTGTTTTTGCGGAGGATGAGTACGGGGGAGTGGCTCGGCTCACGTTTCCAGCGATCTCTCTGGCTGTACGTGACCCTCCTCCGACTCCGAGACACCGACCGTGACCGTGACCTCCACGACTTCCGGCCTCCCGACCTAAACACACAACATCCATTTTTATGTATTTGTCATGAAGCAACTGCTAAACCACATCTGGATATTAAACTCCCCCACTGATTGGCAGTTCTTTCTGTTACTGCTCCTATTTCACACTTTGTTTACCGTTGTTTCAAACTCTGGTACACAGTTATCTCACCTTGACAGAGTTGTTTACGAATGATGCTGATGATTGAGGAATCATCCACTCAGCATCCCTGCTTATGTCAAGGTGATGGAACATTACGCCTTGTCAGTGATTCTGTTTCAGCTCTGACCAAACTCGGAAAAAAAGTCTCTATATTTAAGATGAGAACACTGAAAGCTTCTGAAATAAGACTTATGATGACATGCTCACATGTTAAAAAGCAGAATAAAAAGGAGAGAAGCTGGGAGGGATTGATTATTACTAATTTCTGCAGCCTACATCCATTGAATCAGACTTATGCAACATACAATTAACTCTATTGTAGCTTTCAGATGTACGTAGTTGCATAAGAACAAAAACATGCCAATATAGCTAGACAGAAGTATAAACTAAAAATGCCTCAAAATCATACTTAACTACAGCGTTTGAGTCAGTAGACGCTGATAGTTTCCACCACTGATACTATGTAGGAAACGCCTGTTATTTATGTCAGCCAACTTCATTTCTCAGCTCCCTGCTCTGTCCACTGAGACTCATTTACATTATTATTATTATAATGAACTAAAGCACTCTACCTTGAGCGTGACCTCTTCTTCAGTGAAGGGCTCCTGGATCTGGATCCCCTCCTGTAGCTCCGACCAGGTGACCTGGATCTCTTATGCTTCTTTGAAGACTTTCTTTCTTTGTTTCTCTGTGGAGACTTGGACTGTTTTCTTTTCTTCTTTGCTGCTGCTTTAAGACTGGCGGCAGAAGACTTTGGGCAATCTGAAGGTTTACACTGAAGGAAGCTGGGCTCAGTGATGTGTTCAGGTTCAGTGGAGGTGGACTGGTTTAGCGTGGACTGGGATGTGCCACAACCTGAAGCTTTAGCAGAACAGCACAACAAACATTACACACCTCAAAGAACAGGGCAAATTAAAGGTGACAAGTATCCTTTACTTCAAAATGAACAGCAACCCTGATAAAGCTCAAGTTTAGGTGGCTTTCCACTGCAGGAACTCAGGAGCAAGGAGGCAGGTTTCAGCCTTTTCTGCTTTCACTCTAGGATCCGACAGCGACGTTAACTCCAAGTACGCTTCAACAAATAGTAGCTACAGTTCTATGAGCATGTAGGAAACAAACATTGTTTTGTTTGCCTGTTTGGCTAATTTAACATTGCAGATTGTGATGTTAGAGAAAAGAAGGCTGCTACTTGACGAGGACAGGAAGCGGTGCTTGTTGTTGTGCTACTCTTGTACTAAAACAGCCCAAAAGTTCATGCAGTGGAAAATGGCCTTGTGTTGCTCTCAAATAACAAAAACGTTTAAGTCGTATTTGTCACATTTTTACCAGATAAGTGGATATCTGAACCTATAATGTGAACAGCCATAAAGGAATGAGACATGCAAGCGCACAGTCTAAACACACGACAAGACGAGAGTCCATATTAAGCTGGAGTTAATTGGGAAAATAGGCGGCAAATCTAAAGGATTTAAGTCAGTCATTAATGGTTTGTCCCAAAAAAATGTATTAAATGTTAAGATTCTTAAGAGATGGCTGTTGTTGAATTAGGGAAAGAGTTGAAGTTAAACCAAACTAAGGAAAATGAAAAAAAGATAAAAAGGATGTACCATGAGTTTCTGTTTTTGTCCTCATAGTCATGTGACTCAACCTCGGAGGTCATTTGTAAAACGTGTTCAACATATCTGTCCAGATGTTTCCTCAGTTTAATCCTTTTGATTACACCATTTTAATCTAATGTAATCCACCATGATACTGCTGTGAAAGTAAATGCCAGTGAGCAAAAATCAACTCTATTACCCTTTGGAAAATGCCCACTGTATATGACTCACTTTTAGTGATTGACTATTGTTTATGCCGCCAACTCGATTAACCCTCTGAACTCACACAGTTTGTGGGTGCTTTTGTCTCCTCATCACAGTTTTGCTCACTGTGGGCTCATTTTACACTGCAATAGAAATGGCTAGAGGCAGAGACTGCATAACAAATTTCTAACATGATAAATCATGTAATCACTAAACGTGATAAAGTTAGATGACATTACAAACTACTGTAAGAATACCAGCTGCAAACCAAGTCCTACCTAATGTTTCTGCTGTTTCTTCTTTTCTCTCTTGTGGTTTTTCACTCTGCTCAGGGCTCTGAGGCTCTCCTGTCCCACACTCAGTCAGCTCCTCTGCTCGGATGTTTCCTTGCGTGGAGCTGAGGCCCAGCTGAGGCAGCTGCAGACGCTCTGAGGGACACTGGTTGGACTGTATGGATTCATCCAAGTCGCCCCTCTTCTCCGAGGAGCTAACAGCATCAAAAAACATCAAAAAAAAGGACGACACAATCATGATAATAGCCTTATTTTTATGTAACATGAAAGCAACCAGTCTACTTTTTATCCACTATGTTTAAGGCATAGCATAAAGTGCTATTACAGTTGTTATGCGAGTCCCCCTGAGTCACAACCAGCTTCCCTTTCCACCAGATTAAAAGTCCATGAGACAGATACAGCCCTTTTTCTGTCACTGCTTCGTCTACAAGCCTTTAACAGAAACATTACATAATTAACAGCCCACTCATTTCAGTGAGTAAGAAGTCTATGTATTAGAGCATTAAAAAGCACCATCCATTCAAATAACTGCACTTTTTCTGGCAGCAAAGTGGCATCACATTAGTGTCACATCAACTGGATGTGGGTGGCATCGCCTTAAAAAGACAGAAGATTTAAAGTTTCCCAGTTGGCAAGTTGAGGTCAATATTTTAACATCCCACAGGAAACTAAGCACAAAGAGTGAGGACATGGAAAAAACTTCTGAAGTTCAGGCATCAAGACCAAAACAGTGTCACATTTCTCTCGAGAAGGTTTCTATTCGTACCTGGAGCGAGTCCTGTGGCACTGCGAACCGGATCGCGATCGAGTCCTTGACCTTCGGTGGTGGTGGTGTTTAGACCTGGAGTGAGAATTCCTCTTCACTGAGTCGGAATGCGAGTGAGAGTTGGAATGTGACGGTGAGCGACGACAACTCCTCCTGCCGTGTCTTTCCTCGTCTCCTCTTCCTTGGTTGGAGGTGTCCTGTTAGGGAGCAAGAAGGAAAGATTCTAAAACCACAGAACTGTATCTGCTCATGAAAAGTCAAATCCAAGATGAATATTTTTCTCCTGCTTGTATTGAAAGCAAAGATGCAGATTTGAATAAGGATGACTGCTGTTTGTCATCAAAACATTTGACAGTTGAGTTTCTACCTGTTTGGGGATTATATCAGGCAGCTCCTCTTGTCGTCGCAGCGATAAGCTTTGACCACATTTACTTTCCCTCTGCTTTGACACGAACGCCGAGTCAGAATCTGATGAGTTCTCGTCACCTTTCCTCCTTTTCTTCTTCTTCTTCTTCTTTCCTGTTGAGTGCTGCTTGTGGCATCTGGACTTACTCTCATGATCGGCACCTGGACAAACAGTTCATCAGCTCTGTGCAACGGTAACATGTTTATACAGCACCAAGTACACAGACATGCATAGAGGTAACATATAAGGTCCACTGCAGGAACTTGGGACAGGTGGAAGTTTACAGAAATGACTCCATAATCTAAGATAGCAATCACTAATCCCACAGCGGTACTGCTGTTATCACTGAAGTCAGATATATGAGGAGTTTCCTACCATGGATGATCAATAATTCACATTATAATGACGAACAGACTTACCTTGCTCCTTTTTCGCTTCTGTTGGTGTTCCTCTTCTATGAGGCAAAGATAAAACCTGAGTTAGGCACATTTGAAAAGTGGGAGTTAAAGGAGAATTCTGGTTTATTTCAACCTTTCATATTCCCCATTAATGTGACTGTTGTGACTCTAAGTGTGATACTAACTTTGCCCTCTTTCCCTGAATTTCAGAGATTCGGGGAAATGAGGAGTTGCACAAAACAGCTTGTGAACTGTGTTCAGTGGGGCAGTATAAAATTTGTTGTGTTGTCATATTAGACGACTTCTAACTGTTTAAGTTTTTACTGACTGTATGGAGAGCTGAGCATTTGAGCCGAACATTCTCAGTCCGTCTTCCACTTGATGTCTGGGTGACAACACTGATTATTAAAGCTGCAGATTCATCAGTTGGAGCTCCAAAGCTGGTACTCCTCTCTCTGGACACATCCATCCATCCATTATCTATAGACCGTTTAATCCTCATTAGGGTCACGGGGGGGCTGGAGCCTATCCCAGCCGACTTAGGGCGAAGGCAGGGGACACCCTGGACAGGTCGCCAGTCCATCGCAGGGCCACACTTAGAGACAGACAACCAAGCACACTCACATTCACACCTATGGACAATTTAGAATCACCAATTAACCTCAACATGTTTTTGGACTGTATGGGAGGAAGCCGGAGAACCCGGAGAGAACCCACGCTGCACGGGGAGAACATGCAAACTCCACGCAGAAAGATTCCGGTGCCCCCACCGGGACGCGAACCGGCAACCTTCTTGCTGCGAGGCAACAGTGCTACCAACTGCGCCACCCTGCAGGCCCTCTCTGGACACATGGAGGTTTTAAAGTCTGACATTAACAGGTTCCACCCTGTACAACAACAGTTTTCTTCTCAGTCAGCAGTGAACACAGAAACACAATCAGCTACCCGCGGTACGATATCTTTCAGGACATCCTGTCGTCTTTCTGGCTCTGTCCTGCAAGTCCTGAATTTGTTTTAGCTCCTCATCTGTGGACTTTGCTTAAAATAATTAGGCTGACAAATTAACTGAAATGACCCACTATCCTCCTCATCAGCATGCGAGCCACAGTTGCATTCAACTACTAAGTTTCCTCAAAGTCATGACCACAGTGAAAGTCAGCCTCAAAGATCTAAACAAACCAGTGTGAGCAGATGAATGTCAGCCAGCTTCCCTGCACACATTAGCTAATACATGTAGCACAATGTCCTTTCTATGTATCTAATTTCTATGCTTTCCTTCAGAAATGTTTAAAATGATTCATGATTCTTTTCTTGGAAAGCTGCAGGAAGCTCATGCTAATCCTTCCATTAAAGACGGTGTGTAAACATTTTTGTGCGACTCCTTGTTTCCTTGGATCTTTACAACAGAGTCGTAGAGTGCAAAGTCAGCAAGACGCAACAGCCACATAAATGGGAAATGCGACAGATTGAAATAGACTGAAATTCTACTTTAATAGTAAATGGCAGTTAGTCACAGGTTTGTTTTAGTTCACATCCTTGGTGTTATTTTTAGTTACGAGATTTCCTCTTCTTGACTTTTTCATGCTGTCCAGTCAAACACAACAAACAGAACAGCTCTTCTTCTTGTCACTGCCAGCAGGTCACCATGTTGTTTTCTGGTGTGCTTGTTTGGAACGTGTTTGCGTACACGTACCCCCGGTTGGTGTATTTACAGAAGCATGTGCAAATCCACTGTTTTGGGTTGACAGCTGTCCACAGAAACCATGACTTGGCCTTAAGGCTGATAAGGTTCAGGACGAGTAGGAATCTGATTACAAACACTTCCAACATGAAGACAACAAACCACATGAAGTGTATCTGCAATACTTCTCTGATTTTAGCATGTATGTATTTCAGCAGTGGCAGTAAATGTTGCCAGGACGAATAAAGTCATTGCAACCCTATTTGAGGGCTGCAGTTTTGTTGACTGCTTCAAATACGCCAAACAACAATCTGCAGGATTTACCACAATCACAAGGATGGAGTGGAATGAAGCTGAACAGAGACTAAAGCGATAACACAAAAACAAAGCAGGGCAAGTCTGACATGCGAGAAAATAATTGTTACTGTCGGAGATGGAAAAGACGATGCCACAAATGAGCCACTTTTGGGTCGAAGCAACACAAACTGTGTTCTGCCGTGTTCAAAGCAGGCGCTCTTACAAAGATAAAACACATATTAAACAACATATTATAAAGAAATGTGTGAAATATGTGCCCAAAATAACAAATCCTCATGAATGTAATTGTAATGCTGCTACATTATGATTGGAATCCATCCATCCATCCATTTTCTATACACCGCTTAATCCTCATTAGGGTCGCGGGGGGGCTGGAGCCTATCCCAGCCGACTTAGGGCGAAGGCAGGGGACACCCTGGACAGGTCGCCAGTCCATCGCAGGGCCACACTTAGAGACAAACAACCAAGCACACTCACATTCACACCTATGGACAATTTAGAATCACCAATTAACCTCAACATGTTTTTGGACTGTGTGGGAGGAAGCCGGAGAACCCGGAGAGAACCCACGCTGCACGGGGAGAACATGCAAACTCCACGCAGAAAGATTCCGGTGCCCTCACTGGGACGCGAACCGGCAACCTGCGAGGCAACAGTGCTACCAACTGCGCCACCTTGCAGCCCTGATTGGAATCCATCTCTGTTAAAACTACACAGCAAAATACTGTTTTCCTTGTGGGATGGGAGACGACATAAAATCAGTGGAACTCTGCTGTGGGTGTTTTATGATGCTATGATGGGGGTTATTATGGGATTGAGAAAGCTTCACCTGGTCTGATGTCTGCTTCCTCTGTCCACTTCAGCTCCAGACTCTGAGCTGCTCTCCTTGTCTCGATTCCTCTTTTTCTTCTTACTTTTGTGCTTTTTGTGCTTCTTGTGCTTCTTTTGTGAGCCGCTGCTTCTGAAGTCTTCGTGTTTGTCTGAAGTGCTTTTTTCTGCTGAATCCATTTCTCCAGCAGCCACTGCTTCAGCAGCACTGATGGACACAGACACAGAAACATTCATTATCACTGTTGGTCCAACACAGTAAACCTGCTACTGGACCTCTTAATGGTCAGTAACATCCAGAAAATATGTTTAACACTGATGCATGTTCCAGATCTAAGAGGACTCTGGCTTCTTCTAAACGAAACTAAACGGAAAAATTCAAATATCTTATCTTAAAAACAGCCTCCTGACTTCTACATGAAATACAGAAGAACAGTTTTACAATTAACGAACTATTTCCAGCTGTTTCCTTCTTCCGGCGCTGTGTTTCCAGCCCTCTAAGTCCCCCTAATGTCCTCACTACAAGTTGTCCTGTTACATTCAATGAATAAATAAGCAGCTAACGTTAGCTTGTTGGTAAATAAAGCTCCGCAGCGGCTCACAGATTCTGTTTGTTCGTTTCTGTTTTAAAATCCTGCGAACTGTGAGCAACTACAGCAAGGACAAACACAAAACACGACATACTCTTTGTCTTCATTCTGGTCTTCAATCTCTCTGATTTTATTCAATATAAAATCTTGGAAAATTTGCTCTATATTGGCCGCCATGTTTTTGAGTGCATCTCCTTTAAAGTCCGGGTAGGAACTGCTTACCAGCTGTGGGTTCCGGGTATCAGTCCTTCTATTGGTTAAACACATTAGACGCCATATTGGTTCACTGCTGCCCTCTGCTGTTTGCTGGTTTCTAATTCTTCACACGTCGTCTTAAAATCTAATATTGTACAGATAAAAAAATAATAATGAATAAATAAAATCTGTCTCCGTGTTGATGAAGGTGAACAGAGTAAAAATGTTTTCTCTGCATGCTCCCAGGTCTTTGTACAACGTCTTGGTTTGGTGGAAGTACTTCTTGCCTTCAAACTTAATACTGAATTTATTTTGCCACACATACATTTTCCACATACGGCAGAAAAGACAGAGTTCTGTAGGATTATTCTATCTTAAATCATCAGGGTTCTTCTGCTCAACCATCTCTGATTTGCTTGAAACTTTATCGTAAACTACGGATATTTAAATTGGAATCTGTAAAATTCAAGATTGGTATATCAAGTTCTTGGTAAGATTTTTATTTATTTTATTTTCTCATTCTGTCATTGATTCAGAATCCACAATATTGGTCAAGTAGATCAAATAGACTCTGATTATGGATGAGCTGAAATATGAAATAAAGAATTTGAAACATCATGAATGGTCCCATTTTTGAGCACATGTCAACAAAATATCAATGCGAAAGTCAACTAGGGATATTTTCTGTATCAAACATAGCTTCACAATTTAGACAAAATATTTTTTTTTAAATCTCAGACAGTATTTGCTGTATCAAGCTAAAGTCCAACAATAATCTTTAAATATCCAGACTTCAGGCCAATCAGAAATGGTCGAGCAGAAATGATTCTAACAATCTGATGATATCAGATGAAATGACAATGTATTAATTTTAGTCAAAAGCATTTTTCTTGCATCACAATGCAAGATCTATATATTTGTACCAATGTGCAAAACATTTGATAATTTTAGTGCTAAAAGAATGAATACATGCCTAATATTGGAAGCTAAGCAGGGTCAGAATTTGAAAGAGAAACTAAAACTGTTTGAAAATAATCATGAGGAAGACTATGAATATGAGAAGGTTAAGGAGAAGAAATATGATCACTGTGGTTGTAATACTGACTGCGTTTCAATATCCACAGGCTGATAGAAAAATATTAAGTATGTCCATAAATCACCTTGCAAATGAGAATAACTGCCCTTAGGTCTTCAAAAATAAATCTATCTTCACACTTGTTGGAGTTGGCTATTGTCATAACTTTATTTTAACTTTTGTTTTTTATTCCAGTCAAATATCCAAGGGATAAACATCAATTCCTAACAGTCCATCAACAGCCCTTTACAGCTGAGTTTATTTTTTGCGTATTTATTGATTCATTTTTTCCCCCCAATCATTTTAACCAACTTATTCACAAACACTGCAGCCACAGTTCTGTCACCAGTGAAGAATCACACATTTAACACCGTTTGTACCCATGAGTTTGTATTTCATTTTCAGTCACTTAACCAGAAGTACTACCTCTAAGTAACTTGTCTCACTTGACAAACGGGCTGTTGTAGCTTTTATTTTATTTATTTTTTATTATTATTATTTTTTGCACTTTGGCAACCAAAGACCAGAAAACTCAAAGTTCTGTGGATAATTTCACTTCAGCATAAAGCGGCTGGTGAGTGGCAGTTTTTCTGTTCGAATTTTTCGACGACAACAACACAAAACATAGTCAGAGCAGGTGCAGAGGTTAACTAGTGGAAATTACAGCTTGGTTCACACTTGCAGTCTTTCTGAGTCTTACGGCGATCTTGCTGTTGTTAATCAGAGCCAAGTGAAGCTACGAAATCCTACTTTTTTATCATTCTTACTTGAATACGATCAATCTACACATCAAGGTTGTATCCACCGCCTTCCGGTCACGTGATTCTTTACAAGACTGATATGGTTTTATTGAGAAGGAATGAAAATGAAGTACATCTTATCTGTAATTTCTCTCACTTTATTGAGGCTTTCGAGTTATCTGTCCCTTAGAAATACAAAAACATGGTAAGAACATGGAATCTGTTTTTCAGCGTAAATATACAGAGCAAGTGTGTTTGGTTCCAAATCCAGCAGATGGCGCCTTCTGGTTTGGATAGAGACTGGAAGTGAAGAGTCTGGATTCAGATCCAGGATGCAGGACTCTGTGAATCCAGGTGAGCTGAATCAGTTCATGAACTAACTGCAGATACTCTGAAAGCATCAAATGTGGCAATAATCACAGAGACACAACAGCTGCATCTAGACATAACCTCCTGCATGAGAAATCTAAAGTGTTTCCTCTACACTATCATGTCTGAGACCTGTTGTTGGTTTGGTGTGTTCCTACCACGGTACCAGAAAACTTATAGAGAAGAAAATGCAAAATGGTTCCAAAGATTGGATTTGAACCACCAACCTTGAAAATTAAAGAGTTGGAATATTTCCACTAAACCACAGACTGAACTGGATGAGCAACATGTTTGTCTTGCACGGTCTGATGCTCAGAGTCTTGTGTTTTATATTTAGTGTTTAGCTTGAAGTAGAGAAATACCTGTTAACAAGGTGAAAGTTCGGGGACGTTTTGTTACTGACAGACATAAAACTGTTTGGTTGGATTAGATCCAGTGATCTTCTGATTTAAAGTCTGTTTGTTTAACCTCCAAACCATCAGGTAAAAACATAGCAGCTAATTGTGGTTACCAGTGTTTGTGGTTCAAACTCCAGATCTGAGCATCACAGTGAAGCTTTGATGGAGCTGCATGAACATAATACAGAGTCAACACATCCTGGAAACTCCAGGTTGAGGTAGAAGGAGGCTCCTCAGAAGTCCGTGGAGCTGGAAGTCAAAAACAGGATCAGATCTGACAGCAGGAAGTGTTTGGACGCTGCAGGTTCTGGCAATAAGTGGGACTTGAACCAGTGACTCCAGCACCAGAACCAGACCCTCCCTACCTTCTACCCAATAAAAGATGTAACACTGCAAATGTTCTCTTTCGGTTCACCTTCACAGACTCATGCTATGTGTTGGTGAGCCCACCGTATACCAGAATACTAATAAACACCCACTACAGCAAACTTCACATGAGGACTATGGGTAAAATGTCTTCAACGGTATGGTGCTGTGACCCGGATGGCAAGATACTTCAGAGGAGACTCTTTTCCCACACCAAGGACATGCCAGTGACTCCATCCATCCATTATCTATACACCGCTTAATCCTCACTAGGGTCGCGGAGGGGCTGGAGCCTGTCCCAGCCGACTTAGGGCGAAGGCAGGGTGTCCTCACCGGGACACGAACCAGCAACCTTCCAGCTGTGAGGCGAAGATGCTAACCACTGTGCCATCTTGCAGCCCTGCCAGTGACTCATCATTCCGAATTGTATTGAGGTAAGGGATCCTTTTGAAAACCCAAGTTGTTAGAGGTCTGTGGAACTGTAGTCCCGAGTAGGTTGACGCCATTCATGTTTTTGAAGTAAGTTTGTTGTAAGTGGTTGTGAACATGAAGAAGTTAAATATTCTAAAGAAAAAAAAGTTTTAAAGAGTTAAAAAAAATAAATAAAAAGGAAGAAAAGTATCGTATGCTGTATATTCATAGATATACACATTATTCATTTTTCATTCTAAAGTATTTACATAGTGTGTGTTGGAGCTATTTGTTTGTTTTGTAATATTTTATCTTTAATATTTAGTTATTTATTTTCTGTAGTTTTCTTTGAGGAATGCACTTTGGTTTGTGGTGGTTGGTCTGAGTAGTTGTTGGTGCTTTTATTTTGACAGTTTTGGGTAGCTGGCGGAGGGGCTGAATCTACATATATGGGCATGTAGATGTAGATGAGTTGGGCACCTACAGGAGTTCATGGTTTTTACCAGGGCTGAGGACAAAGCAAGGGTTTTTTATGTTCTTTGTTTGTTGCAAGCCAGTGGAATAAAACCCATCAACCTTCAATTTTTGGCTGGACAATGGACTCATTTCACCCCCCCTGCGTACATTCGTTCCCTGGGTGCCACAGTGGCTGGTTGA